CTTTCAAGTATCAATGCTAAATATTTAAGATAATTAAATAAAATATGAGCAATATTTTTGATAGCTGGGGCATTGCACATACTGTACATGTTCACTCATGATATGGCAGGTAATGGAAGTAACCATGGAATCCAACAACTCAAATCTTGCTTTAGAATATGATCTGCTTAAGAACTGCATCAAACTCATTGGCAGTTATTTTTCAAATTGGAAAAGTTTTGTTCTTAGCCAGCCAATTTGAAGATCTATTTTTGCCAAGAACTCCATGTCAATTTGGGCACTGATATATTTACGGCTCTGTTTAAAAATGTCCCTTGTCTGGGAGGCAGTTGAGAGTAAATTCAGGTCGAAAACCCATTTTGTGAACTAACTTTGGTAAGTCAGCTTAGCCAGGAATGGGGCTGAACGATACTTAGCTGTCCCACTAAACATACATTAGGTAGATCCTCTGCCAATGTTTTCTTATAAGTTCCTGGAATGCTTCTTGAAAAATGGCTCTGAATTTGTTCAAGTGAGGTAAGGCCCCACAATTCCACACATTGGAATTCCACACATTTTTACCTCCAGTAATTTTAGTATAGGGGCATCCTTAGTATGCACTGAGCCAGTCTTAGGGGATAGCTGCTGGAGGAAGGCTGTAGGTATCTTTAAAGGGGTGCAGGAGTATTCTGTGATTGTGTCCAGCTACTCAGACTATTTCTAAGTATGGGCCTATTGGTCTTCTGGAAGTTCAGGGTTCTCATATCCAAAATAGCAAGGATGATTCAAAAGTTCCTGTCTTTAACCAGTCCCACATTAAAACAGTAAGGATAGCCCTTATCTGGACACAGAGTTCATCACGGCATTTTCATCTACGGAATAACAGAGTTGGAAGGGACTTTGGAGGTCTTCTAGTCCAACCTCCTGTTCAGGCAGAAAATCCTATACCATTTCAGACAAATGGTTGTCCAATCTCTTCTTGATACGGCATAGGAAGATACATGAAGGATGAAGCAGGAATCAGCTTCCAGGACTTATCAAGACAGTTCCCTCCTCTTTCATCCCTCTTATGTCCCAGAAATCTGTTGGGTAGGATATTTGTGAATACTAATCTTCCTGATGATCACTACTCATATATTTTTTTTTTAAAAAAATCTTGACTGACATTGATGGGATGTAGGAGGATGCACAATAAAGTGGGAGTTCCATGATCTTGTATAGTGCAATGAAAAAGCATCTTTCTTCATTGTATTAACAGGGATATTTTGTGGGTGAAGCTTTGCCACACTTCTAGAAGATCAGTAGATCTATGATCAGAAATAGGACAAATCACTAGTTATAAGCACAATGGAGTTCTGAGAAACATCAGGTGCATTCCTTTCCACCTCATATTATGCGTTTTGGTTGGTGTGTGACTTGTTACAAGAGGATGCTTGTCAACTTCACACCAACTCTTAAATATTAAAAATCGGTAGATACTGCATGAAAAAGCAATGCTAACAATAAGTGATCCCTGATGGAAGCATCTAGTAATAGCAATAGCAAAAGTAGGGGGGGGGGCAGGACTTACCCTTGGGCTTGGTTTGTATGGAAAGCGAGTCCGGTCAGGAAGGGAGAAGGCTGGTGAGGGTGGGGGTACTCCGGGGAGGGGAGAAGGTCGGAGCATCCCGGTCATGACTGGGATGGGCAGATACGGCGGGAGCCGAGGGGCAGGCCATCTTCGGGGAACAAGGACCCGCTATGTTAGAGCGATTCCTTGTTCCGGCCCCTCAAAAGGCTCAGCCTGTAGTACTGGTGACAGGGGAGTACAGGGCCCTAATTGTAGGCTGCTGTTGCTTAATGCCAGGTCCGTTGTCAGCAAAGCCCCCCTTGTCCGTGATTTAATATTGGACGGCGGGGCGGACCTGGCATGTATAACCGAAACCTGGCTGGGCCCTGAGGGGGGTGTCTCCCTCTCGGAGATGTGCCCGGACGGGTTTGTGGTGCTTCATCAGCCTCGACATCAGGGCAGGGTGGGGGAGTGGCAGTCATCGCTCGGAAGTCCTTGAGTCCTCGTGGGATTCCTGCCCCGGAGGTTGTTGGGTGTGAGTCCCTCCTATTGAAGTTGGGTTCATGGGTTCAGTTGGGCTTGTTGCTGACGTACCTACCTCCCAGCTGCGTTGCAACAGCCCTGCCTGCGTTGCTGGAGTCAGTAGCCGGGTTGGCGGTGGAGTTCCCCAGACTTATAGTACTGGGGGACTTTAACCTACCATCACTCGGCGATCACTCAGAGGCGGCACAGGAGTTCATGGCTTCCATGGCAACCATGGACCTGACCCAGGTAATTCAGGATCCGACCCATAGGGGTGGTCACACACTCGACCTTGTGTTTCTCTCGGGGCAATGGAGACATGATCTGGAATTAAGGGGAATAGAGATTTCGCCCTTGTCATGGACAGATCATTTCCTATTGAGGCTGGACTTCAGAGCATCACTCCCCCATCGCAGGGAGAGGGAACCGACTAGGTGGTTCCGCCCCAGGCACCTAATGGACCCAGATCGGTTCCAGGAGGAGCTTGGGGAAATACCTGACTCCCTTGTCCACAACTCGTCCGGGTCCCTGGTTGCGGCCTGGAATGAGGCGGCGTCCGGGGCCCTGGATCGAATTGCGCCTTTGCGACCTCTCTGTGGTGGTGGTCCCCGGAGGGCGCCTTGGTTCACTGAGGAGCTCCGGGAGATGAAGCGCCACAAGAGACGTCTAGAGCGACGTTGGAGGGCCAGTAACTCTGAATCTGACCGATCACTATTAAGAGCCTATCTTAGGACTTATTTAGTGGCGATAAGAGCGGCAAAGCGTGTTCACTTTTCCACACTTATTGCGTCCGCAGAATCTCGCCCAGCCGCCTTGTTTAGGGTGACCCGCTCCCTTCTTAAAGTGGAGGAGGCAGAGGAACCCTTGCAGGGGAGAGCTGAGGAGTTTGTTCAGTTTCTTTCGGACAAAATCGCTCAGATTCAGACGGACCTGGACTCTGACTGGGCAGTGCCAGCCGAGTTGCCAGGGGCTGGTCTTAGTCATATTATCTGGAGCGAGTTTGAGCCTGTGACCCCTGATGAAGTGGACAAGGCCGTGAGGGCAATGAATGCCGCCACCTGTTTATTGGACCCGTGCCCCTCCTGGCTGGTTTCGGCCAGTAGGGAGGTGACACGAGGCTGGCTCCAGGCGATAATTAATGCTTCCTTGATGGAGGGGTCTTTCCCGCAACCCTTAAAGGAAGCGGTGGTGAGGCCCCTCCTCAAGAAGCCTTCCCTGGACCCAGCTGTTTTGAAGAACTTTCGTCCCGTCTCCAACCTCCCCTTTGTGGGAAGGTTGTAGAGAAGGTGGTGGCATCTCAAATCTTGCGATCCTTGGATGAAACCAATTACCTGGACCCTTTTCAATCTGGTTTCAGGCCCGGCTACAGCACTGAGACTGCTTTGGTCGCACTGACCGATGACCTCTGGCGAGCCCGGGATAGGGGTCATTCCTCTATCCTGGTGCTTCTTGACCTCTCAGCGGCTTTCGATACCATCGACCATGGTATCCTTCTGCGTCGTCTCGGAGAGGTGGGGGTGGGTGGCACTGTATTGCGGTGGTTCTCCTCCTACCTCTCTGACAGGTCGCAGTCGGTGTTGGCGGGCGGACAGAGATCGACCCCTAGGCGCCTCGATTATGGGGTGCCTCAGGGCTCGGTCCTGTCCCCCCTCCTTTTCAACATCTACATGAAACCGCTGGGTGAGATCATTCGGCGACACGGGGTGAGGTATCATCAGTATGCAGATGATACCCAATTATATATCTCCACCCCGTGCCCTTTCAGTGAAGCGGTCGACGTGATGTGCCGGTGCCTGGAAGATGTGAGGGTCTGGATGGGGGTGAACAGGCTTAGACTCAACCCTGACAAGACCGAGTGGCTCTGGGTCTTGCCTCCCAAAGGCCAACTGGATGTCCATCTTTAGTCCTGGGGGGGGGCAAATTTACCTCCCTCAGTGCAGGCACGCAACTTGGGTGTCCTCCTAGACTCACAGCTAAATCTGGAACAACATCTATCGGCTGTGGCCAGGGGGACCTTTGCACAGGTTCGCCTAGTGCACCAGTTGCGGCCTTATTTGGACCGAGAGGCTTTACTCACAGTCACTCATGCCGTTGTCACCTCAAGACTGGATTACTGCAATGCGCTCTACATGGGGCTACCCTTGAAGAGCGTTCGGAGGCTGCAGTTGGTTCAGAACGCAGCCGCGAGAGCGATTGTGGGCGCGCCGAGGTACGCCCACGTGTCACCTATCCTCCCCGAGCTGCACTGGCTTCCTGTGGGTCTCCGGACGCAATTCAAGGTGTTGGTTATCACCTTTAAAGCCCTTCATGGCATAGGGCCAGGTTACTTACAGGACCGCATTCTGCCGCATAGCTCCCAGAGACCGGTGAGGTCCCATAGAGTGGGCCTCCTTCAGGTCCCGTCGGCCAGACAATGTCGGCTGGCGGGCCCTCGGGGAAGGGCCTTTTCCGTGGTGGCTCCGACCTGGTGGAACCAACTTCCCCCCGAGGTTCGAACTACTCCCACCCTGCCGGCCTTTAAGAAGGCTGTTAAAACCCTCCTGTTCCGGCAGGCCTGGGGCTGATGTCCCCGGGGGGCCGGGATATGACCGGACTCGCAGTATGATCGCAGTATGATTGTATTATTTTATTATTTTATTGTTTTTTGACTGTTTTTTAACTTTGTACGCCGCCCTGAGTCCTTCGGGATTGGGCGGCATATAAATATTAAAAATAAATAAATAAATAAATAAATGTACAAAAGTATATTGAAGTTGGAAAAAATGGGGCTCCAGTTCAAATAATAAATACAATAGAAAGTACAGACAAAAGAAACTCCTTGTCAACAGAAAATCTGTAATGCTCTCTCTGGCGCCAAAATCAGCAACACACAGTTGAAAGAACCCAGGTTTATTTCCTGGTTTAAATCTTCTTGCAGCCCATTTCTTAAACAAAGATTTACCACTGTTTTTAAAGCAACATTATGTCCATGTTTAAAACCAGATCAAATGCTTTTCTAGAAGAATGCTAAGCATCATGCAGTCAGATGTCTTTGCAGAATCACATGCACAATTTCTTCTTGCCAGAAAGTCAACCTTGGCATCTGGGTGATATGTGGGGGCTTCCAAGAAAGTGGCTGGGAAATTTTGGGAATTGAAGTCTACACGTGCCAAAGTTGCCAAGGTTGAGAAACAATAGACTAGATTAAGATGGCAAACATGCACGCATCTCTCTCTCTCCCTCCCTGAAAAAGATTGAACTAATCCAGTTCCCTGTATTTGAGTCAACCTTATCATCCTATTTTTTTCCTTCTGTCAATTCCAGGGGACTTCGGGCGCCGCTCTACCCAAGAGGCCACGAGGTTCTCTCTATGGTTGTTCTGCACCTCCACAACTCGTCTATCCGGTTTGTGACTTTACCCAACGTGCACTGCGGCGAAAATAGGCGACGACAATAACAAACAGCGGTAGCAAGGGTGGCGCGTAAGCCCGCGGGGCCCGATACACAGCCCGGACCGTCTAAGTACATTCGCCGCTCCCGCGGGCATCATCTCACTCTCCGGTGACAGCTCGGTCTCTTCGCGCCGCTGCCGTTCCTCATACTTCTTTCCGACACTTGTCTTCTCCGGGCGCCGGACCCTGAAGCTCTGGGTGAAGCCGCAGAAGAGGGGAGGAGCTCCCGCAGCCGCCGGTCCCCGGCGCGGGACGGTGCCCGGGGCCGCCCAGCTGTTGCTCTTGAGATGGCTCCCTGGGGGTGAGTGGCGGGAAAGGGGATATCCCAAAGCAGAGAGGAGCCCTCCGGCCGTGCCCGTGGCTGTCATGGAGACGACCAACGCCCGCCCCCCTGCGCCCCCCCATCCCTACCCCAACCCCTGAACTGCTGTGTCTTTTGCGCGAGCGGACTTGGCACGTTGGTCCCGAAAATGTAGCGTTTAACTTGTCCCGGACTCCCTTTTCCCCGAAGTTAACTCCGTGGGGGAATGACTCAGCCGTCCCGCACTTCTATAGTTCCGCCTTCCCCACCTTGTTGTGTAAGAAAGGCAGTGTAATTTTAGGGGTGTTTCTTTTTTCTTTTTTCTTTCCTGTTTTCCACTAAGCGCTGTCTTTTAAAGCAGTCTATGTAGATAGGAGAAATGGCTCGTTCCACCTCTTGGTTGTTTTTCATTTTTAATTTCTTGCCGACTTGATAGCTTTTTCGTTAAAGCCTGTATATAATTATATCAGTTTGTCGTTTTTTTGCATGGCTAATATTACCTACATTTGACTCTTTTTGTTGTTGTTGTTGTTGTGGTGGTGGTGGTGGCTGAAGTCTGATTTTCCCATAGCTAAAAAATCAGTCAACATAGAACATTTATACCAGCCCCCCTTCCCCAATGCTGAGATTCCATGTTATCTTGTGGCTGCAGGTCTTCATCAGGTTGGATGGTGAATTGTTTGAGTTTGTAGGCAACAATGGTAAATTACACTGATGTATTATTTTTCCTGTGGTACATATGAAATCTGTAAATACAGCCTGTACTCAATGCATATTTTGAAAGTAACTCCAATATAAGATACATTCCCATTAATTTTGTTCATAAAGATAACACAAGCTATAACATTGGTTTGTAAAAATTAACTGGATTTGCCCCAAATTGGCAATTCTCAGTATTCTGAACTAGCCACCTACAGTGTTACTTGGATTAGTTTGTGAGTTCCTTGCTATAGCTGACAAGCTTTTGCATTAAATTCTTATAAATGTGTTTAATCTGTTTTACAAAGTAACAGTTATTATAAAATTAATAGCTACTGTATAATGTTTCTACAAAATGTTTTGTTTTCCTTTGGTATTGTTTTCCTTTTTATGCATTCTGTTTTTCAGAGAATATTAACTAAATATTTTAATTTTATAAAAAGAAATTATAATTAAACTGACAGAATATATCAATAAGAATCTATATTAGTTGTCATGCCAATATCTTTCTTTAAGCACAATTGAAGTTGGCACAATTATTATATGGTGCAAAGTTCAACTGACATTTTTTTCTGTAAATTTAAATGCATACTTACTATTAATGTGCAGTTCAGTGTACATAGTAAAGAAAGAAGTTTAGACAATTAAAAAGTGGTTAGATATTTCAGCAACAGAGTAATCTAGAATTCCCCAGAACAACCATTATATATTTAAAAGGAAACTGAAGGTCTTGGTATGGCTTTGACAATTTGTAGATCTGAATATTATTGAAAGAGAAAAAACATGTAGTGCTTATAGAGACCTCAGATAGCAAGAATGGAAAGATTCTTAACTGACTATAGGAAATATTTGGAAGCTGTTATTTCTGCCAAAGAAGGTGTTCCAATGTACTGATTTGAAAGGGTGTCCAAACTTATGCACCTGCCATAGAGACCATTTCCTTGCTTTAAATTATTGAACATCTATACATAGTTGATGAACATGCATTCAGATTTTTTAAAAGATGGCATATTCTGTTCTGTGCCATGGAGAGGTTATGCCTGCTTGTGCTCACTCCAAAATTCATTGAAACATAAAATTGGTCCATGGGTGCCTAAAACTTTTTGTGCAACTATAAATTGTTGCAATTTCATACAAATTTTCCAGGTTTATAGTTGGTATAAAATTATTGCTGCACAATTTTGTCATGTGATAATGCATGTGGGTCTCATGTTTATATCAAATAAATGACTCATAGTTTTAAATATTTCCTTTAATTTGCAAGGATTTTTCGGGAGGAACAGACATAGTAGAATGAAGAAACAATATTCTATATTCAGAATTTTCTGTTCTTTCCAAGTATGCTATTTTACTGTAACTACCCAATGCGTGTTCCAGGATTTTCTGATGGCTGATTTAAGTTTCAGCTTTGATTGAGAGTTGTCTTCATTTTGTGCACATTTTCATTTTTAACTATAATTGTTTTGATATTTTTATCCTATGTTTATTCACCTAACTATAAGCTCCACTGAACTCAGTAACGTTTATTTTGAAGGGATATATTTACTATTGTGCTATGATCTCATGATTTAGGCTACTGTAGAAATTAAAGTGCGTTTGAAATTGGCATAAACACCACATTTTCTTATAGCATGTAAGCATGCTATTAGTGTTAAAAACCTAAACAATATTGATGGGAGAAATGAAACAATACAAATTTCTACTGATAGCATGCCTTATTTATGGAATAATGACTGAAAGTTCTAATTTTATATCTTTGCTAATATTCATAAGATTTTTATACATGTTGCAATAATCAACATCAACATCAAACATCATACCTATACAATACAAAGCATTGGGTTTTTGATCTCTGAACTATTAGGCAAATAATCTGACTTTATTTTTTTTTTCATTTAAATAATTGCCTTTTTCAGAACAGCTGGCACACATGGGACCCTCACCTACTAGGAGGCCTTGATCAGCCAGGAGGAGATAGGATTTAAAGAACAGGTGGCTGAATTCACAATTCCATGGTCCCTGTTTCAGGACAAACAAATTCAAATTCTTCCCAGATTATATATTTCTTCATTATATTGTCAATAACTCAAGGCATCAAACATACCTAATACTCCATCGTCCTCTTTTCCCCACAGCAACAACCCTGTGAGGTAAATTGGGCCGAGAGAAAATGACTAATCCAAAGTCACTCTGATAGCTTTTATGCCTAAGGCAGAACTAGATCTCAGTCTCCTTTCTAGTCTGGTGCCTGAACCACTAGGCCAGACTGGTTCACATCATTTAAGACAGCACCACAGGCACCTCCTGAAGTGTTTAGCTTTCTTGTGGTGTTTACTCATTGATTCTTATCCTGTCCTCTTTCAAACATTTACTATAGTCTAACTTAGATCAATCTTTTATATACTTGTTTTAACACTGCTCTCAAGTTGCCTCTTAGTCTTGTACATACTTTTTCCACTGCTGTAGTTGTATAATTTTTCTGGTCTTTTTCTCTAGCTCTTTAATTATCTTAATCACAGACAAGCTCCAGGCATAATCCAGAGTGTCAATATCCTCTTTAAAATATAAATTCTAGAACTAAAGATAGTATTCTAAAATCAGTCAGACTTGTGTACAATAAACTAAAGTTACAATGTCTTGTAACCTGTTTTTCCTTCCTAAGATTTTTTTATTCTTTTTCAGCAACTATATTATGTACTGTTGCCTAATATTTAGGCAGTGTTAAGTTTCCTAGTTTTCTAAGTACTGCTAAGTGGAGTCTCTTATACTTTCACTAATATCATTTGTTGGCTTTAGCCAGGTATTACTCCAGGGTTTAATCCTGATTTTCAGGTACCATCTGTTTTTATCAATTGTAGATTTGACAAATACCCATTTTCACATTTTTTTAGATCACATCAAAAAAGAACAGCAATTATGCAGGACATGCATTTGTAGTTAACCAGTGAGTAAATTACTTAACAGTAGTATATATACAATTACATATTTACTATCTTTTCAACATGAATATAATGTCATATAGTTGCTGAAAAAATCGCATTCTTGCAATCTACCATATTGAATAATAGTAAGCATGTATGCTGTATATGTTGATAAGCATGAGAACAGAAATATGAAACTGGTCTGCATGACCTACTCTTAATACAGGTAGTCCTCAACTTATGACCACAATTGAGTCCAAAATTTCTGTTGTTAAGCAAGACAGTTGTTCAGTGAATTTTACCCCATTTTACCTTTCTTGCCACAGTTGTTAAGTGAGTCACTGAAGTTAATAACACAGATGTTAAGTGAATCTGGCTTCCCCATTCACTTTGCTTGTCAGTAGGTCGCAAAAGGTAATCACATGACCCGGGATACTGCAACTGTTATAACTGAATGCCAGTTGCCAAGTGCCCAAATTTTGATCATGGAGATATAGCAATTTTCATAAGTGTGAAAAATGGTCATGTGTCACTTTTTCCAGTGTTGTTGTAACTTCAAACAGTCACTAAACAAATAGTTTTAAGTCGAGGACTACCTTTGTTATGCTGACTGCTCTGTAGTTTTGGAAAAGGTGCAAACATTCTTCCCATCTTTATTATTATTATTTAATTATCTTGTCTTTTTTAACAATTTGAATTAATGTGACCTTGGAGCCTAAGCCTTATAAAGGATTTTAATGCTTTCTTCTCTGAATTGTAAGTCCCTTACTATGTCATTTGTTCTATTTCCACGCAACTTTTTTTGTGGAAGAAGAAAGAAGCAAAGTAGGATTGTGATGTTAATAACTAATAAAGAGAAGGTATAACTTTTGAGAATTTTTCTGTAGCAAAGCTGCTTTGATCATCTTCATGTTTTCAATAAAATCAAGTGTTAGTTTGTGGTAACATAATCTTAACTATTCAGATTAGTATACTGTATTGTTTTCTTACGTCCCTTTATTACTTAATAGAAGTTGCTTCTAATCCTCACGTGTTTGGAGAGCTCATTCTAGAGCCACTTTTTGAGGCCCCCAGTTTTCTTTCTCATAAGAATAATTAGCTTTAGCATTTCAATTGTATTGGTCTTTAGCATTCAGTATGTATTTAGTGATTCTGTACAGGGGGAAGATCTCCAATTGCAAAGAAGAAAGAGACATGCGTGTATGATGTGTTGTACATTTTGGTTAAAAATATATATTCCCAAGTTAGAAATTAAGCTGAAATAGTATTTTTCATTAAGTATTCCTATTGGCTCTTGCAGTTAGGAAAAGTAAAATCAGTTAGTGGCCTGAGAAGAATGTTCTTAATTTTGAGTTTGTTTGAATGTCTCTCCAAGTGATTAATCAGCATAGTGGAACCACTGATCCCAATATGAATGGTGATTATTTGTGTGAAACAAGACCTTTCTTCTAGAGATGTGGTTGAAAAAAATCCAATTCAGGCAAGTTTGGTGGTTTCAAAGTTGTACAGTTTGCTTTTCAGATGTTCATTTTAAAAAGTTGAGAAACAGCGATTTTATGGCTACCGCTGACTACTTCCAATAGCTGAGAGACAGAAGAAGAGAGAGGAAGCTATTGAAGCCACAGAAAATTAGACAAGCATTGAGATGAATATGCTGATTATATTTATGCACTTTTTTTGGGGAAATACTCATTTCAGACTTTTCCAGAAAACCTGCATCTCTGCTTCTCAGTAATGGTACTCTTGCTATAAAACTTCCTACTGTATCTTTGGAGATGCATCAACTGTTTATCCACAGTTCAGTGTCATTGGTTGCTTACAATATGCATCTTCATCAACATGCTTGAAACTTTCAGGTAGATTTCTAGTAGTTAGAGCTTTTGGTATTAAAATACTTTGGTATTTTGTAGTATTTAATTGTTGTGATTCACTGAAGAATGGTATATAATTAAAATAAAATTTCAGGAAAGATTTAGAAGTTACCATGTTTCCCCGAAAATAATATTTGCCTCCAAAAGAGGCACCAGGTTTTATTTTCAGGGGGTGTCTTTTTCTCTCACCTTGCAGCGGCACTGACAGCCCCGTCCAGCCGGCCAACTTCTTCTGCAGCTGAGAATGGAGCTGCGGCCTGCATTTCACAGTCAGGATTTTATGGAAAGCCTCTGCATCCCAGAACTGAGCTGCGGATTGAATTCATAGCTCAGTTCTCGGATGCAGAGGCCTTCCGGAAAGGCCTCTTGAGTGCAAAATGCAGTCTGGAGCTCCATTCTCAGCTGCAGAATGAAGCTGCTCCTTTGGCTGCAGAAGAAGTGGGCTGGCGAGGCCTGTGTCGATCCATGGGAGGCCTGGCTGCAATGTTAAGCTCCACCCCCCACCCCAACTTGACTTTCAGGCGTGTGCCTCGCCCCAAAATTAGGGCTTATTTTTGGGATACACAGGAAATACGGTACTTGAGCTACCTTAATGAAAGTGATACACAGTTGTGTTTCTTTGTTTTAAAGCTTATAAATGTGTGTGTGTGTGTGTGTGTGTGTGTATACCTACATACATTAAGCATTGTATTTCAATAAACTGGGATGCTGTAACTGTTAGTTTTGTCAATATCCATATCTGAAATAAATGATTTTATAAGTTTTGTACAAGTAGATTTTATTTAGCTTTTTAATTTAATAGATAATGGTCAATCTGTCCTAAATTATTTTCATACATAATCTCCAAATAAACAGCAGTATGGAAGCATATCTGTGTTTCTGTTATAGAACTGCTTTAGGTTAGTTTTATCATTTCTGAATCCATGAACTAAAACTTTTTTCCTGAATATATCTGAGCAACAGATTACTAGCATAGATAGATATGTTGGGGTGGACTTATTTACAAAGTCTATTTGTGGTTACAGCTGTGCTATTTAAATGGCATTTTCAGTGTTGGCATTTATCAGTCTTCCACCATTCTTTATTGTAATCTAGTCTTTATTTAAGATATAACGTAAGTATTCTGTTCAAGAATTACAGAGTAGAAGTAATCCTCCGTTCCCACCTGTTAATTCAACGACCGTTCAAAGTTACAATGGTGCTGAAAAAATAACCTTTATACCAATGCCCACATTTATGACCTTCACGATGTCCTTTGATTATGTGATCACCATGATAGTAAGTGTTGTCCTTTGCCTGGCTCCCCCCCCCGCTATTGTCTTTTTGTAGACAGTCTCTCCTATTCTTGATCCACTCTGCACCTCACTCAAAGTGGAGAGATTGCAGAGGAAGGAATTACAAGACAGCAAGCTGGTACAGGATGGGTTTTTGAGTAGACCTCTTGTGACTGCTGGTAGGAGCACATTGCTTTCAATGTATATTCCCCATTGTGGGCCTACTTACTCTCTTGCAATACTTTCCTCTTCAGTGAATATACATACAAGTATTAATTCCCTTTTTGTTGTTTATCCCAGTGTCAGATGAGCATTCCAAAGGTCAAGGAAATGGTTAGGGGGCAAAAAGCCCAAGTTGTGACTGATTAGTCTTGTCAGTTTCAAGCTAGCTATCCCAGTGCTGGGGAAGGAGATCATGGTCACATGATTTCCTATTTAGTGACCACTTTGCTGAGCAATGGAGTTGCCCGTCCCAATTTTCACTAAATGAAGTCTGTTGGTATTGTTCCATTCTATATGTCACAGTTTAATGTATTCTAAATAAAGATATTTTAATAGGGTTGCCACTGACTGAAATGTAATTATTGACTAGTTTCCTCTTGCATATGTATTCACAATTTCTGTTTTTCACTGTTAGGTGTTTGATGCTCCAGAAACAACATTCTTTTGCCAAAGTCTAATGAAGAAAATACTTTGTTTAGCAATCCAGCTATTTATAAAGGCAGTGATACCTCCATGCAGTTCCTGAAGGTAAACATTCTGTCTTGCTTTCAATATAAGATTCATACAGACTCATAATAGTTCCCACTACTATATTAAGGTTTACTTTTGTGGAGTTTTTATCCTTTTAATATAATTTTGTGATGACTTACCCTGGCAATTAACTTTTAACAGTGTTTCTGGTCAACTTATACCAGCATTCTCTTACCGTTTGCAAATTATTGTAAGTAGAAAACACTAAATTTTGCTTGAATTATGGAGTAATTATTGGGGAATAAGAATAAGACAAAAATGTTTAGAAATAGAAACAACTTTTATTAGGTACACTGGCATAGCATCAGATGAAGATCTATCGGGAAGCTCAGTCAATGATAGATAGCAATATCCCTTTGGGTGGAGGAGGAAGAAATAGTGAATAACATTGATAAATGCTTGGGCTACTACAATATGACTTGAAGGATGTATTGTATAGGACCACTTAGAATGAGTCTGTGAGATGAATAGTTTGATCCCTGAAAGGATTACTTCTGTATAGCTTTACTGAAGTAAAACCCAGTACCTCCAATGTAAAAATGTAATTATCAGTGATTTATTTGAATGGCAAACTACTAATATTATTGTAGGGAAAACTACCATGATCCTAAATGCTATTAAAATTCCTGCCCAGCTCTGTTGATTGATCCTTAATCACATTCTCTAATAAAATATATTTAAATTAGTTTATTTGGGTGATCAAACCATGAATAACAAAGTTCTAGGCTAAGCCCTATTATTGTTTCAATAATTGATCTAGGATAAAAGGTTTGCTTTCCAGTGAGTTACACTGCCTCTGGCCATTTAGAGTATTATTGACTATATGAAAAACAATAAGGCAGAAAACTACCATATTTTCCGGCGTATAAGACGACTTTCTAAACCCTGAAAATCTTCTCAAAAGTCGGGGGTTGTCTTATACGCCGGGTAGCTGTTCTCTGAATTTAAAACCAATCTGCCTCCTAGTGGCCAGACCTATTTTTTATTTTTTTATTTTTACAGAAATAAGCACTAACACAGTGTTTCTCAACCTTGACAATTTTAAGGCATGTGGACTTCAACTCCCAGAATTCCACAGCCAGCAGGACAAAGCATTCAAAAATCCCATTTAAATTTTTAAAATTTTCTTTACAAATGTAAACCCAGCAAACACACTGTTTACCAACTATTAAGTGATTTATGTTTTAAAAAATCAATAAAATATATGGGGAAAAAAATACCAGCTGAGTTCAGGAAGCATTAGGGAAGCAGTGGTGGGCAACACTCGCTTTCTAGCAGCAAAGAAATGGAGCTCCTGTTGTGCTCATCTATAAACAGAAATTCAATATTGTACCGTATTTTCCGGCGTATAAGACGACTTTCTAAACCCTGAAAATCTTCTCAAAAGTTGGGGGTCGTCTTATATGCCCAGTCGTCTTATACACCAGAATATACAGTATATAAAACATTCTTATGTCCTATACCCAAGTGTAAAATATGGACAACAAAAATCTCCAAATTGAGATAATGAGATTCTAACATTAAATTCAGTAGTAGTACCATTTTTTTCTATATTCTGAGAAATAAAAGTATTGGGTATGATCTTTTTCTCTTAATATAAGAGAAAATTTGAAATTACGATGGCACTGAACAGACGTATTTACAACCCCTGGCCAAACTTAGGGCTATTGCAGCATCCCTTCAGTCACATAATTGCAGTTTGGCCTCTTGGCAACCTGTTTGTACTAATGACAGGTTGCCAAATACCCTGCAATCATATGATTGCCATCTGCAATACTTTCTGCCAGCTTCCTCAGTAAGTCAACAGGGAAGTCTGCAAACCACTGCCACAGGGCTAGCTGAAAAAGATCTATCCCGAAATCCAACCTTGGTTTTCTGTTTGGATTTTGGGATGGTCTTTCTTCAGTCAGCCTGTTTGAGAGCTAAAACACTGCTTGTTGGATTGATTTCTGCCCACACAGGGCAGAGTCTCTGGTAGGCAGCTCTTTTGCTCTCAAAGAGGCTGGGTATTGGGCTGGAGAAAAGAAGGTTTAGATCACAAAGATTCATGTTTTTTTTTCCAGCCAAGTGCCACAGTTCCCTTCTGTGCATGGAAAAGAGATGCCTGCACCCCGTTCAGTATGCAGTTCTTTCCATCTGTTTAAAGGACTGTGTGGTTGCTTAAAGACCGCACATGAGAAAGCTAGGATGCCGTGGTAAAGTTGAGTCAGGTTACATGGTAATCTACTTAATGACTGCAACAACTTACAACCTAAATTCCAGGCTGAATTGTGGTTGAATTAGATTTGGGAAAACCCAGGTTCAAGTCCACTTTCAGGTATAAAAGCTCACTGGGTGACTTTGGACTAGGCACTATCCCTCAGCTCAATGTAGCCTATCATTTGGAGGATTGAAAGAGAAAAGACGATAGGGATTGCAGTCTGTGCCACCTGCAGGAGGTTTCTGTTTTTATTTATTTGAACAGAAATAAAATTCTTCATGAATGGAGACTGGAGACTACCTGCTCCGTATAGGGATATCAAGACTGATATGTGTTGGTTCTGTGTCTTTTATATTTGTCATGTAATCTGTGCATGAATAATATCTGACTAGAGCTAAATGATTTAGATAATTTCAGTATTTATGACTAATACTGTTATGGAGTTGGGTTTTCTTGTTTTTGTTTTTTACAGTTTCAAAATAATAATAGCAAAGTCAAAGGTATAAGTTTCAGAAACCTAAAGAAGTCACCATGAAGTTATATGTATTTCTGGTCAACACTGGAACTACCCTTACCTTTGATACAGAACTTGCAGTACAGAAGTAAGGCATTTTTTAAAAAAATATTCTAAAAGTAATCTTTTGCTAGATTAACTTTCTGTCCCTAGGTATTGGAAACTTTGGAGTTGAGAATTGAAGCAGAACCATTATTAAAATACATCTGTAGCTTGTTTGTGGTGTGTGGAATAAGCCTTTCACTAATGTAGTTACAAGAAGACATATTTGAAACTTTGCTAGAAACTCTCTCTCTTTTGATTTTGCTTGAAAATATCTTACTCTTTGGTTAATTTTTTGTAAACCATAGCACATGAACTGTATTTTTTGTTATAATAGTGGTAATATAGAATATATGTCTATTCTTATAGAGTTTGGATAAACTTTTGCATGTTGCTAACAAATTAAAGGTTGACAAAGTAAAAATTGACGTTTTCCATTAATCTTTTAAATAAGGACTAAAAATCCTTGAGTTTTAAAAAAAACATTTGATACACAATGTCTTTTTTATTGTTTTATTAGTGTGGCTGATCTTAAACAAGCAATCCAAAACAAATACAGGATAGCCATTCAGTATCAGGTACTGGTTGTCAATGGTGGCGAATGTATGGCAGCTGACAGAAAAGTCTGTAGTTACAGTGCTGGAACGGTAAATATTCAGATAATTTTTAAAATATTTAAATTATTAAATAATGAAAAGAAAGTTGAAATAACTTATTTTATTTTAATACAGGATACAAACCCAATTTTCCTCTTCAATAAAGAAATGATCTTGTGTGAACGTCCTCCAGCTATACCTAAAACAACATTTTTAGCAGAAAATGAGATGGAAATAAAAGTTGAAGAATCCCTTATGATGCCTGCAGTTTTTCACACAGTAGCTTCACGAACACAGCTTGCTGTGGTAAGCAACTTAAAATCTTTAACAACTTTTATGCAATTTTGTGACAGAAATATTCAATAAAACATAGCTAATCTAAAATATTGTAAAATCATTTGTAAATCCAGATATTTTTGTTGTTTCATCTTTATGTTAATATGTTTTGTATTTTTATGTATACTTTAATTGAATTAAATCATACATCAATATACAAAACATATTAACATAAAGATGAAAAAACAAAAATATGTGGATTACAAATCTCTTGTGTTAATAATTATCAGATTTGTTTTAGAAATAATTATAGACTAAAGTAGTAAAGATTAGGATGAACTTTGTGGGAAAAGGCAAAGGCTATGGGTGTCTACCCAAATTAGATATGTTTCAAATATATGGAATTCATCTATCAGAATTCTATAGCAAGCATGGACATTTTTCAGTATTCTGGGAGTTGAAGTCCACACATGAAGCATATTTGATTTGATGTAGAATAGCTATTGATGGTTCAGAAGTGCACAAGCCCAGTGAATATACTTATTTAATTCTAGTTAATATCTATCTCTTAATGCCCTTACTAAATCCATTTTGTTCTTTAGGTTTTTCAAAAATATTTTTCTTTTCTTTGAATGGAAACCTACTCTTAAATTTGCATAAGTTACTCATTTTAAGGAAGGAGATTAGGGTAAAGAGCAGCATAGAAGCAAATGTACTCTTTGCTATGGGATAGGTAGGTTCTTGAGCTGTGTGCACATTAATTGTGTTTGCAGAATACAGAAACTTGGCTGTGCAATAAGCTATCTAGATTTCATACATCTTCTCTTCATCAAGTAGATAAAGAAACTTTTGACACTAAGGAATTCAATTCTTTCAGGAAGAACTCCCCAGCACTATTCCTTAAAATAGAATTTTAAGTAGCAGCTGATAATGGATATGATAGAATAAGTATTTTTCAATTTCTGGCATTTCAAGTGAGACATATCAAATAGTAGATAATAGGGGAGTACCTTGCCTGTGATAGCTGGGAAACAATAATCAGTAAAGCAGTGATTCAATACAGTTTCCTAAATATCCACATTATTCAAAAATGAACTTGTTATCTTTGTTGTCATAACATCCAATGTTAATGAAATAAAGCTGCTGAGACAACTTTCTATATGGATTTTATTTTTTTGCTGGCCTTGTACAATCATTATTTCTACTGTAAGTAACTGAAATTCCATAATGAATTTTCATATTTAGTAAAAACAATTGTCAGGGATAGTAGCAAAATAAACATGGGTAGTCACATTATTATTTTGAAACAATGTTTGGTTTCACTTATATAAATTATTATAGTGCTGGTGCTTATGAAAGCATTAGTATGTTTTACCAGAAATCTAAATTTATGCTAAGGGATAAAATTCCCATTACAAATGCACAGTTTTTGTTTGTTTGTTTCTTAACAGCATGCTTCTCTTTATTTTAATAGAAACACAAAATCAGTGATAAGGAAAAACAGCCTGTTCCTAATATAGAATTTGTGAAACAACATTCTTGAGTATCTTTCTCTTTGGAACTGAAGTTGTGAAAGACACTTGGGAATTCTGTTAAAAACATCCCTTTCCCCAAATTATATATTTCCTTATCACTGATTTTTGTTCTGTTACAGGTACTTCCTGGCCTACAATCATTCATTCAGTGATTGTTCAATATTTTGATATGCTGAACAAATGGTGGTTATGATCAGTCTAGGACAGTGGTTCTCAACCTGTGGGTCGGGACCCCATTTGGGGTCAAACGACCATTTCACGGGGGTCGCCAAACAACGTAGTCCGCCATTTTTTCCCCTTTTCCTTAGCTGTGCTACTCCCTTTTATTCTATTGGCTTTTGAAAGCCAATAGAATAGACTCTCTTGAATAAAGTCTAATTCTATTGGCTTTCAAAAGCCAATAGGAATTGTCCAGGCTGTCTCTGCCCTGCTGAGCCGGCCAAAAGTCCCATTCTGCACCAGTTGAGTAGTCCTCGACTTACGACCGGTTGAGTAGTCCTAGACTTACAACCGGTTGGGGGTCGTGGCATTAAAAAGGTTGAGAACCGTTGGTCTGGGAGTTCCAGCTATCCCAGTTTCCCCATGGTCACATGATTGCGACAAGGGCCCTTGGTGTCTAGTTCACACTTATGACTGGTTGCAGTTCTCCACGATCATATGATCGCCGTTTGCAACCTTTCCTGCTGGTTTGCCCAGGAAATCAGTGGAGAAACCAATTGTAATGGTATGTGAGAAAGAGCCTGAAATATAAGGCAAAGAAATGCTGCCTAGGGAATGGTCAGATAGGACAATGCATACAGATTCAACAGGGGCCTTCTCTGGCTTCTCAGGCTGTAAAGGAGACAGTGGGAGGTGGGTGCTTTCAGATTTGCAAGGTTCTGTTATTGTAGATTTACAATAATATAGAATGAACTTATCTGATTGTGTTTTTCCTCTGATCTACCTGGTAAGGCTGATATTGACAGGGAAGATTGCAAATGGCTGGAGTAAGTTTCTCCCACCCAAATACCCTACCCCAGCCTATCTGTATTTGCATTGTGCCAGCCACTCACCTCCCCCCCCACCCAAACACATTCTTATTCACCCTTGTGCATCTCCTTGTGCTGTCCGCCACCCAGCAGCAGCCACTTACCTGCTGCTGGCCTAGGACCTGCAATTTCCTGCTGGTTTCCCCACTGTCTTTGGTATGGGAAGCTGCAGGAAGTTGCCTGCCCACTGACCGTAGTATTCAGTTAACGATGGCAACTGGGTTTCCAAGGATTGCCATCGCTAACCAATGCAGGTATGCTTTGTAACCACAGCACTTAGCGATGGAATTCTGACTCAAATTGCCATTATAAGTTAGGGACTGCGTGTAATATAAATACATTTATTGAATTAATTTGATCCTCTTCAACATCAGAAATACCCCCAAACAAGCCCAATCTAAAAGGTATATATGAGTAGTTTTCAGCTTATGGTGGCAATTGGGATCGGAATTGCTATCATTAAGCAATGGGGTTATAAAGTGCAATGTTATGCATCTGTGCTGCTCAACAATTGCAATTATGGCAGTTCTGGTTGCCACTGTTAAGCAAGGACCACACAGGTTGTTAAGTGAGGACATCATGTGACTGTGAATTCTAACTTTCTGCCAGTTTTCCCAGTGACTGTTTAAACTGGAAGCTGGCAAGGAAAACCAGAATTGGTGATCATGTCGCTACAAGAACAATGCAACAATCATGCATTCAGTACCTGTCAACGCTGCAAATATTGTATATTCTTGTTTTTGACAATATGCAGAACTGTTTGGTATTTTTAGAGTTAATTCAGAAGCCAAAAAAAGGGAACAGAAGTGAATCTCTGCCCTCTGGGCTAATTGGAAGATGTGACTTGTGACTGCAAGATAAGGGAGGGGTTTAGCAAGAAAAGTTAGATGCCAGCAAGAGGAATTCAGATTCTGGCAAAAAAACCTCCATTGTGCCTGTGCCGACATTTTGTAACAATAAAAGACTTTTAGGAAAATAAATGCCTGGAAGTTCTTTGGAATGTTTCATTAGTCGGAACCATGACAGTACCATTGTAACTTTGAATAGTCGCTGAATGAATGATTGTAACCCTAGTATTACCTGTAATGGAAAGGCAAAATGGATGAGAAAGGCAAAGAAATTAAAATAGTTACCTATCCTGATAAATAGCTGGGATTGAAATTGCTCATTTAGGGGGAAAGTTTAATGAAAGACATCAGCATATGAACTTCACTTTTCTTTTTATCTACAAAAAAGACAAAGGATACTACAGAAAAATGAGAACTATTGCTACTGCCATATAGACATTTCTTCTGAGAAGGTTTACTGCAAAATGTTAGGTGGTTTATCCCTCCTGAAGGTTTAAAATTATTATTCTGGAATAAATTAAATTAAAATAAAATTAAATATTCTGGAAGCTTTTAACAAGAGACTGGATGACCATTTGTCTGAAATGGTATAGGGTTTCTTGCCTGAGCAGGGTGTTCGACTAGAAGACATCCAAGGTTCCTTCCAACTCTATTATTATTGTTATTATTCACAAATGCCTTCAAGGGCATTTCTTGTCATACAAGACTCACATTTTTCTTGAGCTATATTGTTTTTCTGTTCCATATTTCTTCCCTTGGAAATGTATGTTATGTTTATATGTTTTAACTACAAAAAATAGGCTATTGATATTTAACGTATTTGTTTATACAGGAAATGTATGAAATAGCCAAAAAACTTTGCTCCTTCTGTGAAGGCCTCGTTCATGATGAACATCTTCAGCACCAAGGCTGGGCTGCTATAATGGCAAATTTGGAAGATTGTACATATTCTTATCAAAAACTGCTTTTCAGATTTGAAAATGCATATTCAAGTTACCTGCAATCCATAGATGATATTAAACTGAAACTTACACAGTAAGTTTGCCTTTTGACTCTTCAGTAAGAAGCTATTGCTATATAACTACTTTCCTGAAAACTAAGTTTTTATGAGTTTGTACATTTGTTTTGACTTTGTTTCATACGTTAGTTCTAGTGCTTGATCTTTAATACCAATTGAGAGGAAAGCAGCAAGTAATCGTAATTATATTATTCAGGAATTCTGGAAACATGACAATATGTTCTTATGCTGAAGGCCAGATCCCTTTGAATTCAATGGAACGTAGTCATTGGTGTATTATCCAAAAAACAGATGACTGCGAACATGTTCGCAATGGATTTCATTTGCTGACTTATTATTTGTGTACTATAATTAAATTGGAAAGCATTTATGTGATCAGTTGCATATTATTAAAGCATAATTATGGTTTAATTATGGTAGCCTTTTTTCATAAGGAAAGGTCCCATACAGTTCAGTAGGTTTTTAGGCTTCATTATTTAAGATGAGGAGGAGGACGTCGACGATGAAGGATAATTACAGACTACATGTTTGAATGTTTTGAGAGCTAATTTCCAGATGATTACATAATTTATTTTCAAACTTTCCATTCAAAATTTGAAAGAAAACAGCATTACTGTATAATTAATGTTGCTATATACATAACATTGAAAGCCATTTTGGTGCAGTGATTGCAGCATCAGTTTTGCCCTCTTTTATGACTTTTCTTGCCACAGCTGCTAAGTGAATCACTGCAGTTGTTAAATTAGTAACCCGGTTAAGTGAATCTGGCTTCCCCGTTGACTTTGCTTGTCAGAAGGTTGCAAAAGGGAATTACAGGCCCTGGGACACTGCAACTGTCATAAATATGAACCGGTTGCTAAGTACCAGAATTTTGATCACATGTCCCTGGGGATGCTGCAGTGGTCATAAGTGTGAAAAATGGTCATAAGTCACTTTTTTCCAGTGCCATTGTAACTTTGAATGGTCACTAAATGAATGGTTGAGGGCTACCTATATGAGTTCTAGTCTGGCCTCGGGCACAAATCCAGCTGGATAATTTTGAGTCAGTCATTTTCTCTCAGTCAATCATTTTCTCTTAGACAAAAGCAAAGCTCTTCCAAAATCTTGCCAAGAAAATTGTGGGGACTTGTGTCAACACAGACTCAATGGCAGATACACATAAAATACATAACTTTGATAAAATAGTGCAAATTAATTTTTAATTACCTGATTTCCTAATTTAAATTTGGATGAACATTTCAGATTATTTGATAAACTCTTTTAAAGTATACATTAAATTTTTTAGTTGTAGTGAAAAGGTAATTAAGTTAAGACACATTTAATATTTCATTGTCTGATAAAGCATTTGGATAAAATTAGAAGAATTAAGGTGACGTTGTAGTGAAAAGACTGAAAAGCATATTATCCATGCAAGATATCACATCTTTGTTTATTTATACTTAATTTGTTTATTTATTTTCCCAAGCTTAGGGGCTGCTGTTTCTATTATGGCCAAGATCCCATTGCTGGAGTGCCTAACTAGACATAGTTACAGGGACTGTTTGGAACGAATGGATTCTTCCACTGATCATGGAGGAACCGAAAGCGAAGACACTGAAAATGAGAAGTCGGCTGAAGTTATGCTTTCTCCTGATACACTTAAGATGAACAAACAATTATTGATAGCGTCATTTTGCAAGTCGGTGGAACATCCAACCTCAGATGATCCAGATTTTGAAAAATTGAATGAAAATAGGGAAGCTAGTCACTATGCAGTCCAAGACAGAGATCTTTCAGTGGAGCTTAACGAAAATGATCTGCCTTCTTTTAATGTTTCACTTTTAGACTGGATAAATGTTCAAGATAGACCTAATGATGTTGAGTCCTTGGTCAGGAAATGTTTTGATTCCATGAGCAGAGTAAGTTAATGTTTTTAAAAACATCATTGTGTTCTGTTTTATAATCCTTTGAATTATTCTTTTCTATCTTGTATAGCTATTCTTATAAGTAACATACAGGATGTGAGATCTAAAGTGGCCTTTTCATGCTTGCTTGAAAATGGTAACTGCAATTCAGCATAGATTCTTACTGTGGAAGAAGAAGAAAATGTTTTTTATCCATGGCATTTTCTCCCAATAGAATTATTTTGGAGTATATAAGGTTTTTTAATATTTATAAGATATGCTACTTGCATATTTTTTCTTAAAGTTTTAATATATACCGTTACTTTAACAACTAAAGCAGTGTCAAACGTTCAAGGTAAGGATGGGAGTTTTTTATAGGTAGTCTTTGACTTACAACCATTTGTTTAGTGACCATTCAAAGTTACCACGGCACTAAAAAAAGTGACTTATGATCGTTTTTCATACTTACGACCGTTGTAGCATCCCTATGGTCACATGATCAAAATTCAGACGCTTGGCAACTGGCATGTATTTATGATTCACTTACTAACTGGCAAGAAAGATCATAAAATGGAGCAAAACTCAAAACTCGCTTAGCAAACAAAAGTTTGTGGTCATAAGTCGAGAACTACCTTTATTATATTGCTTATCTGTTGCTAGATGAGAAAAAGTTATCTGAACACTGATCAGTGTTGCTGTCAGATCTCTCCACTGTTCCATGAAATCATTTGAGTTGTTTTTCCTCTCAGTTGACTTCCTTCATTTCCAATGTTGATATTAAAAGACTTTTTTTTCTTAGCAGCCTGCTGAAAGGCTGATATTTTGAATTTCCATGCCGGTTAAAAAAGGAGAATGTTGCTTTTTATACAAACATATGTAGCATGATAGGCTGGCAAAAAATATTTCAAGTAAATATCTTAACTAAAAAGCTGTCTAGGTCTCTCTGATTAATTGCATATTAGTCTATAACGGGGGTCTTCAAAGTGGCCCTTTTATGACTTGTGGACTTCAACTCCCAGAATTCCTTAGCCAGGCCTGCTGGCTGAGAAATTCTGGGAGTTGAAGTCCACAAGTCATAAAAGGGCCAAGTTTGAAGACCCCTGGTCTATAATTTCTTATCGGTAATATGAAAAACAAAACTAACTCCCCCAGCTTTAGATTATTCATATAGCAATTGACCAAGCTCATTTCCCATCCAAGCTTCAATCCATTATCAACTGATAGAATCAGTACACAGCAGCAAAAAATATGGGCTTCAGTTGAAAGAAAATGCAAACTCTGTAGGTTTGATCTTTGAATCCTTAGGAACAGCAATGGGATATATCTTTCTCAGACTGGTGAAGTTCAAACATTTTAGTTTTAAAACTCATAGCCCTATTCAACATAATAGCTGATAAAGGTATTGTAACAAATGAGTGATAGACAGCTGCGTTTAATCTATTTCGAAATTTATATTCTATCACATAGATGCAAGTTGATCTTAGTATGTTCTACAATTGTGTGGCATCTGATATTGATGTCTACAGGTATACTGGTAATAAATATCTGTTTCATTATTTGACATTAATTATGTCTTCCCATGTATTTCTGTGTTTCAAATGTTTATTCCAGATTTTGCCCTAGACCACTTTGTATGTCATATAGGAATGCTAACCAATGTATAATTATAATGAATTTTATATCTATTATAAAAAAGTAGTAATTATTTTTTAGATTTCATGTCCTATAAGTTCTTCAAAAAAAAATCATATTTCCCAAATGCTATTTTGTTAATTTTTATTGGCTTGATAAATTATTGTTGTTCTAGTATTGATTCTAGCAATTTAATTATAATTTTTGTGAACGTCCAGTTGTTTGCTTAACATGTATAATATAATAGGATATAAATTAATACTAATCAAAATTTAATTTTCCTTTCCCTCCCTTTCCTTCTTCCCTCCAGGGTAGGGAGATGAAACATTGAGAAGTTTTTTTTTTCTAACTCTATGGCAGTATGAAATTGAACTTGGTTGAAAGTGATCAAAACAGTTTGTGATTTTTATCAGTTACTGTCTTTGCTTCAACCAGTATTTCTGAATGTTCTAAAGATCCCCTTACCTCTCTCAAACTATCTTTTAAATAAAGGGCAAAAAAGAAATAAAAGAATATATGTATGTATATGAAGAGAGGCAAGATGGTGAACATATCTAGAGTGTGACTGGCCCGAAGTCATCTATCTAGTTGGCTTACAGCTCTCATTGTTGAGGAAATTACCCTTTATTTTTTAAAGATGTAGTCATGTATTTTTTTTTTTAATATGCATCCTGTCCTTCAAATGCACATGGTTTTCAGGGAATATAGTTTACCCTGTATACAGTTAACCTGACTACCTTAAGTTATTGTATATTCTATAGAATACTTAAGACATGTTTTGCTCAGTAAGTGCCCCAAGAATATCTCTTGATAGATGAATTCATTATGCTAAAATTATTATAAAAATGTTTCCACAAAGAGCAGTATGTAGTAAATTGAATTGCATAAAGATATCCAGGACTAGTATAAAAATGCAAATGATTTTGAGTTGATCTGTGCTGTCCTTTAAATATTTTAAATAGCTGCTGGATTGAATTAATTTATGGATTAAGGGATGGTACTATGAGTGATAACTTCAAATTTCAGTCTGTTTCATTAGAGGAAATAGGTTAATCATATCAAATACTAACATGCTAATATGTGGGCATGACTTAGACATTTGCTTTAAAAAAAAATTCAGAGTAAAATACAACTAGAGGCTTTGTTTTGAAAGAAACCGGGATTGTATGATTTTAAGGAACTAATCTCTGTGAATACAGCAAGATATAAATAGTTTACTAATGTTGCGCTTTTAAGACAATTTCATAATATAAATCTCATTTAATCCAGTTCTGCCCTTCTGCAACTTTTATATTAGGTTTCTCTATATGGCACCCTGTGAACTATCTTTTGTAGAAGCCATTTTTCAACGTTTAATGTTTTATGGTGCTCCAGTGGAAGAGGAGAGGAGGAAAACCTCTTCTGCTTAAGAAATGTGATTACATAAAGGTCAATTTTACCCGTTACATGTTTCTTGTTAAGAAAATCTAGTTTAAAATGTACACGTTTCAGATTACATCATATTACTTACAGTGCATGTGTTTGGATACAGATATGTATTATGATTGGTCCCACAATCAGCCAGAGGTTTAGTCTGGTTTTGACATTTTTATTTACCTATCAAGTCCTTCCCAAGAACTTGAAATAGGCTGATGTTGTTGCTTGATGATGTTAAAGTATTCTTGGGGCGTGTAATAAAGATATTGGAATGCAATTTGGCATCAACAAGTGTGCAATTATAGCCATAATGGCAGGAAAATTGTTGAAGATGATGGAATATAGCTTAACAATGAAGATTTGATAACAGCAGTGACACCAGAAGAAGTCTACAAATATTTCGAGGATTTGAAAGCTTCCAATTTATTACAAAATGAAGTCAAAATACTTCTACTAAATATAGAATCATAAGGCTGGAAGGGCGCCTTGGAGGTCTTCTAGTCCAACCCTCTGCCCAAGGCAGGAGTCCTTATACCATCCAGGATAAATGGTTGTCTTGTAAATCTCCAACAATGGAGCACCCACAAGTCCAAGAGGGATGCTGTTCTATTGATTATTCATTCTCACTGTTAGGAAGTTCCTCTATATTTTTAGATTTAATCTCCCTCCCATTACTTTCACCCATTATTTCTTATCCTGCCCTCAGGTGCTACAGAGAATCAAACAAATTTTGAAAACTAAGCTAAATGATGGAAGCATCATTAGAGCGATTAGTACCTGAGCAGTCCCTAATATTTGATATACAGCAGGAATAGTTGACTGGACCTAGATAGAATTTGATAATTTGGATCAGAAGAAAACTAACGACAATACACCATGCTTCACACTCCAAAAGTACTGATTGGCTTTATTTGCCAACAGCTAAAATGGGTAGAGGACTTCTACAGATTAAACAAATTGGAGGAAGAAAACATGGCCTGAATGACTACACTAAGAAAAGCCAAGTACCTTTGATGAAGGCAGTCAATCAGGAAAAACTCTTGAAAACAATAAAGGTGAAGGCCAGATAGAGGAAAAAAAAAAACAATTGAAAACCAATTTGTTAATTGGAAGAAAATGCCAATGCATGATCAATATTTGAAGGATATTAAAGAAAAAGCTAATTAAAAACTCATATGGAATTAGTTAAGATCAGGAGTGTTAAAAAAAACCCTGAAGGGTTTATTTTATGACTCACAATAAGCTTTACCAACTAATTTCATGAAGGCACAGATTCAACATATCACAACAGCCAATGTCACCTTTGTAGTCAAAAGAATGAAACTCTGGTTTTAAGGTAAATAACAATAAGACTAAAATATTACCAAAAATATGTCTATGAAGGAAAAGGATATGTTAGCTAAATTAACAAGTTTTGAAATAGTGAAGAAGGTTAAATATTTGGGAGTATACATTACAGCTTCTAATGTTAAATTATACAAAAATAATTATGAAACATTATGGGTAAAAGTGCAAAAGGATTAAATTATTGGAAAAAACTACAGTTATCTTTGTTGGGGAGAATCTCAGCGGTTAAAATGAATGTTCTTCCAAAGTTTCTTTTTTTGTTTCAAATGATACCTATTTTGAAAAAAGATGCCAATTTGGAGGAATGGCAGAAGGGTATTAATAAATTTATTTGGGCGGGCAAAAAACCAAGAGTTAAGTTTAAGATTATACAAGATGTACGGGAAAGAGGAGGACTTAAGGTGCCTAATCTGAAATTATATTATGATGCGGTGGCTTTAACATTGATTAGTGATTGGCTTAATTTAACAAATAAAAATATACTTTCTCTTGAGGGATGGGATTTATTATATGGATGGCATGCATATTTAATTTATGATAAAAAGGTGGATCAGGTTTTTAAATCCCATATTTTAAGAAGTGCTTTATTGCATGTCTGGAAGAAGTATTATTATAGGTTAAATTATAAAGCACCAATTTGGGGGATTCCTGGACACGTGATAGAAGGGGTATCTAGGGGTGTGAATTTGGATAGGATTTCTTATAAAGAATTACTTAGATTGGTAGGGAATGATTGGCATTTAAAATCGTTAGCTGAGTTAAAGCAAGAAAACATTGTACAGTCTTGGTTTCAGTATAATCAATTGTTGGTTAGGTGGAAGTTAGATCAAAAGGTTGGTATTACTTTAATGGACGAGAATTTGGTAAAACAGATTAAAGATCAAAACCGAGCGCATATAAAGAGAATTTATAATGTTTTAATAGAAATGGATTTGGAAATGTAATTAGTTAAAGATTGTATGGTAAAGTGGGCTCAAAATATTCAAGAACCGATTCCATTGGATACATGGGAGGTAATTTGGGTTAGAAATGTAAAATTTACCCAGGCACAAAATTTAAGAGAAAAGTTTTATAAAATGTTCTATAGATGGCATTTGGATCCTAAAAAGATGTCTTGTATGTATCCTAATTTACAGCCCAAATGTTGGAGATGTGGTAGTTTGAATGCCACTTATTTTCATATATGGTGGACTTGTAGAAATATAAAAGCATTTTGGATTAAGATTTGGTGGAACATTCAACAGATTTTCAAGAGAAAGATATAAAGTTTACCCCACAATTATTTTTATTGGGTGTTATTATAGCTTGTGATGTTAAAGAAATTAATTTGATGTTGAATTTGATAACAGCTGCAAGGTTACTAGTAGGGCAATATTGGAAGAAGGATTGCTTGCCTAATATAAAAGAATGGATGCTTAAGGTGTCAAATTTAGCAGAAATAGCTAAGATTTCTGCTTACTTGAAGGATCACTCACAAGAAAGATATATTTTGGTTTGGAGAAGATGGATAAATTATATTCAGAATAAATATGGGACTAAAAAGTTTTATTTAGCTTATGAGTGAATTTTAGAGTATTATTATGATATTATTATTTTTAGTATTACTGTTGTTTAACAATTTGGAGATTGTATTGTTTAATAATTAGGATATTAATTTGTTTATGTTTTCATTATGTTTATTTTCAATTTGTTTATATTTATGTTAAAGGGGAGTTAAAGTGCATTATGGACTTGGTTATTTATATAGTTGGTTAATGTTAGTTAGATTATGTTTATCATATTTGTAACCCTGTACTCAGCTCTGGGAAGTTGGGGAGGGAGGAGGGGGGTTTGGGTGGGTTATATTTTAATTTTTATAAAACTTTTTAATAAAAAAAAGAATGAAAAAATTGACCATTTTGATCAGTGGCTACCGCAAAATTTCACAAACTAACTACAAGCAGCGTCATGACCAAGTTGCCAGAATTCATTGGAAACTTTGCCAGATGATTGGATTTGAATGTAGTAAAAACTACTGGACCATCGTTGAGAAGGATTTGGAAAACAAGCAGGTTGAGACCTTAAGGGAACTTTTAAGTTTCAAACAGACAGGCACCTTGTTCATAACATGCCTGATATATAGTTATTGAAAACAAGAAAGTTTGATTCATTGACATTGCTATTCCAGGTTGGAAAAAAAATATGAAATAGCAAGACTTGCAGATCAAAGTTGAACACTTATGGAATATACCAATCTTATTTAGAACCCTCAGAGTAACACCTAAAGGACTGAATTTATTGGACCTGAGTACTTTAATTTTACAAAGGATCACCCTGCTTGGAACTGCCTATATTCTTAGACATTACCTTAAAAAATTTTAGGTCCTTGGTTAAGACTTGAATTACTAAGTTTTCACTGGTCTTAGACTGTAAATCTAACTGTAGATTACCCACATATAATAATAATTTCCCCATAATTTTCTTTTCATCAGAAGTGATTAGACATTAAATTTGTCTTTTTGTTTTTCAGCTTGATCCAAGAATTATTCAGCCTTTTTTGGCAGACTGTAGACAGACGATTGCCAAATTAGATAATCAGAACATGAAGGCTATTAAGGGACTGGAGGATAGGCTTTATGCGCTGGACCAGATGATAGCTAGCTGCAGCAGGCTTGTTAATGAACAAAAAGAACTTGCTCAGGTAAGTAGTAGTTGTTTTGAATTTGGTAAGATAGATACCTTTTTTTATAATAATAGTAAATTCTGAAAAATGCTCAATAAATTGGATTTGTTTAGATTAAACTGTGCCCTTTATCTTAACAGAAGATAAATTTGAAATTAAACTTTTTTATCACAGATATGGATATCTTCCTACAATGGTATGAAATTCACTACCTCATTCTTTAGTTCAGGTACTGAATTGGTATGGAGATTTTAATATAAATTTATTTGCTGTCCAAGTCCCAGTGATTCTGAGAGTCTTTAAAGTCATCACAGAGGTTTTCAAGAACTAGGAACAAGTCAGATTTAAGTTCTGTACTTCTGATATATTCCCACTTTTTTGTGTTATTTAGTATTGCAATCATGATTGAAGTCAGTGACCACTTGTACTGAAATTAATATCTGATGTGTCTGATGTACACAAATACATTTCCTATTGTTTCTCTGAATTAGAGATATGATTTACAGAAGTTGCTGAACTGAATTATACAAAGAATCAGCCATCAAACATAAGGAAATCGCAATTCAACAATTGGAAATAGTTTAATTCTATCATATTATGAAATACTTTGCCTCATATATAGGAACTATCTCTTCCCTAAATGTAAAGAATTAAAAACTTAATTCTAGATGGAACGTTTGGAATGTATTAAGATTTTAGTATTTACCCCTATTATTCAGTACCATTGTAATGTATATTTTTATTATTCTTTTGTTTTTAATTCTCTGCTTTTTGTATGTTTGCTGCTTGGAGCCATATGGAGTAGAACACCATAGGAATATTAATAATAAAATAAATATGGCTGAATAGACAATTAAAAAGTTGCTATGCATAATGCATTAGCACAGGGCAACTCCCATCCTTGAAGTTTTGTATCTTTTTTCTTCTAAATTTTCCCCCCACCTTTATTATTTTTATAAATAAGGCAGTGAACGTAAGCTCAGCATGTCTGCTTTGAAGATTTAACGTGGAGAGTTGTCTGTGTACATACATACCATTTGAATAACCAGAAAAAGCCTTCAAACTAATTATGCTGAACCTTTCAGAAAAACATCCATTTTAAATGCTTCCATAATCCTAACATATTCCAGTTTATATAATCTTCTTTTTTTCTAGGTTAGATTGATTTGCAGTCTTATTTCAATCTGATATAGGGGTTGGGATCCCAAAAGCTAAACATCCCAAGTTTTAAAAGTTTACCTTACTTATTTGTTTTTAAGAATAGCTTTCCTGGGCCCATTTTATCACACAATACTTTTTGTAGTTGTCCTTTTCAAAAGTTCTTCCCCACATGTTGTACAAAACTATTTAAAAGTTAAAAAGTTCCAACAAAAATGCATAAATATTTCTAAGTAGTTCACGATAGCACTATAAATGCAAATAACAGAATACTGATGAAGAAACTATTAATAAAAATCTCTAAATATTTAAAACAATAACAGACTTAGTAATCTATGAATAAGTTACTGAAGTAAAAATAAACAAGACTATTAGTACTTAGTAAGTTATTCAGAATGGTGAGAAAACTAACCAATATACCTTTAATGACTGCAATTATTTCCATATTTAAATGAGATATAATTCAAACAAAAACAAAATAAAAGTAGGTAGTTTTTTAATGCATAAATTACGTGTATATAACATCTCATTCAATATGGTCAGTAGGTGGCAATATATTATAAGGATTCTTTTTATTTAGTTTTTAACATAATGCAACCTTGTTAAATTTAAATTACCTGATGCATTTTTATTGATAAAGTCATTTGGTATCCTTTAGAATATTTTTATATGAAGATATGAAACAATTCTTTAGAGTAGAATTCTCGTACCCCCAGGCCGCAGGCTGGCATCGGTCTTTGTCCCTTCAGGAACTGGTCCATGCAAGTGAGCAAAGCCCCATCCAGCACACGCGGGATCCAGGCAGTGTGTGCAGCCATGCCCCCAATCCCAAAAAAATCTCCCTCCGTAGAACAGGTCCCTGTTACCCAAAAGATTGGAGCTGTTGATCTAGAGTATTCTTATTATTTTGCAAGATATTAAAGGAGGCTATTGTGGTGTTCTGAAACCATTTTAGCGATTAGTATAGATACCAAACAATTGCCCATAGGTGATTCTGATTTGCAAAAAATAAATGTATGTCTTCTGGAGTTATTGGGAATGAATTAACATAACATTTATTTGGCACAGAGAACAGAAAATGTTTCTATTTTTAAATCAATTTATTTTATTAAGGGATTTTTGGCTAATCAGAAGAGAGCAGAGAACTTGAAAGATCCTTCTGTACTACCAGACTTGTGCTTGAGCCATGCAAATCAACTGATGATCATGTTAACTAACCACAGGAAACTTTTAGATATTAAGCAAAAATGTACTACTGCCAAACAAGAACTTGCAAATAATTTACAAGTCCGACTGAAGTAAGTTAAGCTATTGCAATAATGTATTTCACCACATGTATTTTTTTAATTGTATGTGTACTACTATTATAATTACTGTTTAGAAATTATATCTCAAACCTTCCTTCCGCCCTCCCTCCCTCTCCCCCTCCCTCCTCCCTCCCTCTCTCTCTCTCTCTCTCTCTCTCTCAACTGTAGAATTATTATATTCAGGAACCAGCAATTTATTTTGCTGCTATCCACAAAGTTTACAAGCTTCCTTTGCGATTGAGTGCATAGGATTTGATTTATTTTATTGTAATATCAGGTGTTCAATAGGTCCCTAGCACTAGTAAAATGTATCTCTGAATGTGTATAGTCACATTTTTTCCAGCTTCAGATTAATGTGGAGGAAAGTTTGCATTTGTTATGATAATATAGGGGAATGTACTATTAAAAATAAGTGAATAAGCAGAAGAAACAAAGTATATGAAAAGGAGGCAGACATGTTGACCTCAGTCTTTAGCAGATAAAAATTATTGTGGAGAACCTTTTTCTATTGAGACTCTCCACATGAATAAAGACTCTGGAAAGTCAGAATCTTTCATTGGTCTGTTGCAGGCACACTCTCATTTTGACTGTTTTTGGGGTGCTTGGCAACCAGTTCACCTTTAGGAGTGTTTTCAAAGTTGGGTCTTGTCATACGAACGCTTTCACTTATGATCATATCAACTTAAGACTGGAAAACTGGTCCTAATCTCAATCATAAGTTGAAGACTATCTGTATAATAGTTTATTTGAACAGTTTATTTGAACAGTTGAACAAAATCCAGATTCACATTAGAAATTTGAATGATATGGATTTTAATAGGTATCTGTAGAATGCAGTTACATTCTTAGGTGAGTTTATTTGCTTTGATTTTAATTGCATTTTAATGATGTAACCTATCAGAAATATTCTGTGACTGAGCGGTTTATAAAGCTTTCAAATCATAAATAAGCAAATACCTGGTTGGCAATTATTAGAAGAGACAGTTCTTTTGAGTGGCTACAGGCTGGTCAGTACTTCTTAATCCAATTTGCCTCACAGATTTGTTGTTGTGGAAAAAAATAGTTTTGGGAATATGAAACCTGTCTTCATGAGCCCCTTGAGTAAAGATAAGGTATATATTTAACAAATACCTATTCAGTAGAGAATTTTTCTTTCAATCACCAGTCCAAATTCACCTATTTTCACCTATTCTGTAGGTGGTGCTGCTTCGTCATGCTTCATGCTGACCAAGATGGAGAGAAACTACAAGCATTGCTTCGCCTTGTAACAGAGCTGCTAGAAAGAGTGAAAATTGTAGAAAAGCTCAGTAATGTCCCACAGATGTACTGTTTGGCAGTTGTTGAAGTTGTAAGAAGAAAAATGTTTGTGAAACACTACAGAGAGGTAAGTAACTTGAGTAAATAATTTAAACCTAAAATATTTTATAAATTTGTGTCTAATATCTTTTGCTTTATAGAGAAAATGTGTTTGTACATTTGTGTTTAATTATTATTATTTTTTTATAGTGGGCTGGTGCATTAGTAAAAGATGGTAAACATCTTTATGATGCAGAAAAAGCCAAAAGGGAATCTTTTGGAAAATTATTTAGTAAGTATTGTAATTTTTTCTCTCCTCTCAAGCTAAAATGGCACAAACATCATTATAACATTAGAAGAAATGTGTATCTTGAATAAATTAGTGTTGATTTTTATATTATACCCAATTATGTGCAGCATAATTATAACATATGATGATTTTTGTAAGATTTGAAGCTGCCAAGGTGGGAATTAGCGGTATCCTGCCAGACAGAACTATTATGTAAACCTTGAACAAATGCAAGGCTGGAAAAGATTGAGCAAGACTCCATTGACGTGGAACAGGTCAGGGAAAAAAATTAGAATTTAAACCCTATTGACAATGGATCCTGGAGACAAACATACATACACCTTCATTTTTATGTTTGAAAGTAACAGATCTTTTGAATATGTATGTTTTCTGGTCTGCTGAATATTATGCTGACTCAATGAAGCTCTGACTTTTAACAGCAGTATTCCTGAAGAGTAAAGATTATTCTATGTTTGATGTGAAGTCTAACAGTTTTATTGAATCAATGTTATGTCATGACTCACCCAAACTAAGTGTGTATGTACAAGTCACAATTATTCATAAGCCTGGCCTCGGTCATGCAGTCACATTATTGACAAAAGGTGTTGGGAGTGTTTGCATGTGAGAGAGAAAAAGGTAAAGGGCAGCCATTTCTCCTCATCATCTGACTATCCTGTGCTACATTGTCCTGGGCACTTTCTTCTAGTCTAACCTCTTATTTCAGGACTGTGCTAGAAAATGAAGCTGGGATCATGAATAGTATTCTCTTCACTTTTCTCCTATTAAAGGTGTGTGATCCATTAAGAGAGAGGATACTGAAAGTGAATAAGACATGATATATAGAAATGGTGCTAGTGAGAATGAATTATATTCTTCAGTCATGCAGTATATTTTTGTGGTGATGGATGATGAGTTGTACCTGAAATGTGCTGGGAAGAATTTGTTCTGCAATTCTGGCCCCAATCCATTAGAAAAAGAGAGTTCAGAAAAGACTGAAATTGCAACATTGGGCACTGGGTATGGAACAATACTAATAACACAGGATATAGAAGCACCTTAATAATGATAATACAAACACCAAGAAGAATAGGCCAGATTATATGGCTTACATGGTTTCTAAGGTGTCATAAAAGTGCTCAGAATGTGGAGACAGATAAAGACAACCACAAGTTTTAATGCGGAAGAGCAAGTATGATTTAGTAGACATGGATAACTGGAATAGGGTATAACTTATTTAAAAAGAAGTAGGCTAGTTAAAAGTGAGGGGGGGAGAAGAGCATTGGGGGAAGCACACATCTGGAAAAGCAGAAATATGAACATGAAGATTTGGTCAGTGAGGTTAAAAAAACCATTGATATTATGAGGATATGCATGTCAGGCAGATCTGGATAATTTTAGAACTTTTTAGAGAGGAGCAACATGATGATGGTAGATCTCAGCTACTGTGGATACCCTTTTAAAAGCCAACTTGACTGAATGCAACTCCCATTTCTTCTGTGGTCTTATTATTTCATTTTCCAAAAACTTGATGAGATGATGGATTGTCTGGCCTAGATCTGGTCCTAAACAATAAGAAAGAACTGGTGGGAGAAATAAAAGCTGCTTTATTTTATAATTCTGTGACTTAGCTTGCACAGTTTGTCTCATTTCTCCTGCGTATTATTTTAGTGCTGTAGTGAAAATTATAGTGTTGTGTAGCAAATCAGGTAAATAATTAGAATTGTGGTTAGAGTTAAGACTAGAACTTAGCTTTTTAACTAAGCAGGCATATTTGTTAAATGCTTTACTTTTTTCTTTCTTCAAATATCTTTATATTTTGAAATAAAAGAATATAATACTTATGAGAAGGCTGTGATAAATGGAAAATATGTTTTGTTTCAATCCTGAAACAAACATATTGTGACTTAGAAATTTGCCCAAATTGAAACCAGGAACATTTTGGTTGTTCCAAGTTTTGGCTAAGATAAATTCCAGAGGAGTCACACGGGGCAATTTAGGGCAAGGCTGAAATGTCATCTCTCCTTCACGTGGCCTGTGTAGTGATCTGCCCACAGATTTTCCCAGTGCCTTTTTTTCTCTATCTACCCTTAACTATCACTACCCTTTAAGTATCATATAGCAATAGGAGGAGGGGCAGGAAGTCTGGTTGTATTTGTTATATTTGAATGGAAGGTCAGTGGCCTGCTCATCACCCCAGTCTTTCTGGTGTTTTCCTTTCTCCACCACCTTTAGCAAACTTATGCCACTGTCCTTGAGTTCTAGTGTAGCATATCCACCTGCCCTGCTTGCCATTTCTTATCTCCTCTATGCTTTTGTTTACCTATTTCCCCTTAGCCACTATCACCCTAGCTTTTCCCCTTCTCTTCCCATCTTAAAATACTTCTGCCTAAAATGTGTGTTTCAATTCCAGGCCCAGGCAAAATATCTCTATAATCAAAATGATTTTTTTTTTAAAAAAGGAAGGAGATCTCTTGGTTAAATAAAGAAATATTAGTGTTTGTTAAGCATTAAAAGGGAGCACTTCACAAAGTGCTGAAGCATAAGGAAAACATCTCTTAAATCAGGCATGTCAAACTCACAACGTCATATGACGTCGCATGACGTATTGCAACTTTTCCCCCATTGCCGGCAATGGGGTGGGCACAGTTTCGGAGTGACATATCCAGCCTGCGGGCCGGCAGTTTGATATGCCTATCTTAAAAGTATTAAAGCAGCCATTTTCTCTACAAGTCTTGGGATAGCTGATTAGATAGCTTTCCTAATTGTCTGCATGGATGTGTCTCTCCCAGCCACTTCATTTGTCTGGCAATCCCACCTGCATTGTCATTCTGACAAAGCTTTGACCAACAATTACACCAGAGGTTTAATACTTTGATTAATGCTTTAATACTTAAAGAGGGATGTTTCCTTTGTACTATTAATAAAATGTCTCTTCTGCCAGCTTTATTATACAAATATTCATATGCTTTTGTATTGAAAATATTTTGATCTTTCTGCTTCCATTTTTGCCTTTTGAGGCCTTCACACTTTTTCTTGAAAAGTTGTTCAACTTCAGTCTTGAAATTTGAGCAAAGTGAATACTTACTTTCCCTAGAAATAGTTAATATAGTGTTCTTTCATATTAACAGATTGTCTTATACGTGAATAAAAAGAGCAACCTTTATTTCTTTGAATAGGGAAATCTTTCTTAAGAAATCGTTTGTTCAGGGGCCTTGATGCCTGGCCACCATCCTTTTGTGTGAGTATTTTATCTTTTTTTTAAAATGAAAAAATATAGTTCTTTTCTAAGAGTTTTAAATAAATAGCCTCCTGGGAAGAAGCCTATAGGTACATACAGTATTGGCAAACTTGTAAGTAAGAAATATATAAGCTTTTAATACAATAATCTCTTGTTGCATTTCTTTTATTAATAATATAGATTGCTGTAAAATATTTTAAAATATTAATTGGTATTATGTTCATTTGTACTGTATATGGTTTTAAATAACTATGAATAGCTAATTCATATTTATGGTAGTTTTGACTAATTTTCTGCAATAAGTAACAAAATCTTATACTGTGAAAACTGAATAGAAAAGATATAAAACTTGATTATCACTTTTTAAAATATGTGATCAACGTTTACATGTTGATGACCCTTCACATGATGAGAGGGAAGACTAATAACTTAAATAACTGAGCTTAAACAAATACCATAGAAATGGGATAGGATTGTTCCTCTCTCCTTTTCCCCTTGCTGGCAGATGGTCAACAGGGACACTTTTAGATCTCCCTGTTAAGACTGATCAAATTTCTGAATTAATCTCATTTATGTTAGAACTCTCTGGGGCTTTTTGTAGCTTTCTATAGTACACATCTCTGTGAGATGGTACTACATATTTGGATAATATATTTATTACAAGAGGTAAACAACCTGCTACTATTCATATTCATTTGCTTGGATACTCTTACAAAATTTAGAACTGTGTTACTTATTTTCACTGACCTATCTACAGTAACTTAAATATATTTCCTATATAATTACAGTAATTCAGATCCTAAGAGAATATAAAGTCAGATTTATTTTCCTTTGATGTGGACTATTTTGAATTATATGGTATTTAGCAGTAAAGAATTCCAAGGATGCTTTTTCACAAGGCAACTGGGCTTTCTTTCTTTTTCTTAGAAGATGTTTTGCTTCTCATCCAAGAAGCTTCTTCAGCTCTGACTGGATGGTGGGGAATGGAAAGATTTATACTACTGCAGACAGCTGTTCGTTTGCATTTTTTTAGCGAGTTATTTATGTCTTCAGGGTCACCTGAGTAGTGCAGATGGGTGTGGAGCCTTCTTGGAACTGTTGAAAGGACTGTGTTGTAGACTGGGGATAGATGATGTCAGATCCCTCCCCTCTGTTGAGAGAAGGCTTTCAGTTTTGACATAGATGGCCACTTCGACTCCTCTTTCAAACCAACGGTCCTCTCTGTCCAAAATGTGGACTTACAGCTTTAATAACTTGTTAAAAGAATGCAAATGAACAGCTGTCTGCAGGAGTATAAATCTTTCCATTCCCCACTATCCAGTCAGAGCTGAAGAAGCTTCTTGGATGAGAAGTGAAACATCTTCAAAGAAAAGCAAGAAAGTCCAGTTGCATCATGAAAAAGCATTTTTGGGATAACTATGACCTGGATGACTAAGAATCACCATAGACATTTAGCAGTAAAGAACTGTTACTGTCCATCAGTTATATAATCAATTGCATCATTTTTAATAGCAACAGGTTTAATAACCACATATCTGATAGTGCTTTCTACATTTAATATAATGTAAAATGTAGTCAATTCTATAATCTCTGTATTAATATTCATTTTCCAAAATATTTTGTATAATACTTCTCCATTAATAGTATCTGTGAATGGCATTTCTAATCTGCTTTATCACAAATAAGATAATACCAAAAGACTTGTTTGCTCAATAGGACACCACTCTCTCTCTTAAAGCTTCATGAATGTCTCATATTATGTCTGGTAGTTCCTCCAATCCTCCAGAGCAGACTGGAGTATTGAAGAGAGAATTGTTTCCAGATGGAATGATATCCATTCATGACTATGAGAATGGAATTATTGATAAAATCCATTTTTAAAAAATGATCTTTCAGATTAAAACTCTAAATTAGAACAACGTATACACGCAGCTATTGAGCAGCTGTTTACAGATTTTGTGTGTTTCAATGTTTGCCTATTTTAATCATGTATACATTTCTTTTTTATTTATAGACTCGAAAACCTCGCAGATTTGATGGTGAACTTCCTGATATTTCATTATCAGATTTGCAGTTTCTTCAATCCTTTTGTCCTTCAGAAGTACAACCATTACTCAGGTAAGGTATTATTTTAATTAGCTGAAATAAAAAACTTCTGCAGTAGATAGCCATTAAGAAATACAATTGGAGATAATAATAGAGAAAAACAAGTTTTTTCCCCTCCCTTTCTGGTTCATGAATACGCTGCTAACCAAAAAGATACAGATTTCCATACTCTCTATAAATATTAAAACACTATTTATGTAGCATATTTATAATCAGATTAAAATGTCTGCATATCAGATTTGTGAATTGGGACTAATTTCAAAAGAGAAAAAAATCCATGTAAGAAATTCTGAGCAATAAATATAAGAGAGAAACATTACTGTATTCTTGTTTTGTTATTTACATAGATTTATATTCTACAGCCATTTACATGTAGGCTAAATATTTCATCAATAATATTTTTGAATACACAGCCACAGTAAATTTAATTAAACACACTCACACACACACACACAAATGTAAAAAAAAAAACAAGAAAAAAGTGAAGGAAAAGTAAAGGTCCATTAGCAGGTGAAAGTGGCAAGAAGGTGAAAAGCAACAGGGAGAAAGCAGAACTATTTAACTCATTTTTTGCATCTGTCTTTACACAAAGGGAAAAAAACAGACCAACCAATCAAAAATAGTGCCATAAAAAAACAGAATAGAAACACAAATTAAGATAGGCAAGAAAATGGTAAGTGAGCGCCTGTCTAGCCTAGATGAGTTCAAATCACCAGGACCAGATGGATTACACTCCAAGGTTCTCAAGGAACTGGCAGATGTGATCTCAGAACCACTGAACTATATTTTTCAAAGATCCTGGAGCACTGGGAAACTACGAGAGGACTTGAAAAGAGCTGATGTAGTTCCCATCTTAAAAAAAGGGGAAAAAAATGGATCCAGGAAATCACAGACCTATCAGCCTGACCTCAATACCTGGGAAGATTCTGGAAAAAATAATCAAGCAATGAATCAGCGAACACCTACAGGCAAACAAAGTTATTACTAAAAGCCAACATAGGTTTGTCAAAAACAGATCATGCCAGACAAATCTTATTGCATTCTTTGACCAAGTGACAAAATTAGTGGATCAGAGGAAGGCTGTGGATATAATTTACTTGAACTTCAGTAAGGCATTTGATAAAGTAGATCACAACTTACTAATCAATAAGGTAGAAAAATGTGGGTTAGACAGCATCACCACCAGATGGATTCATAGCTGGCTGACTGGCCGTACTCAGCGTGTGGTCCTCAAAGGAACTGCATCTACATGGAGGGAAGTGTGTAGTGGGATGCCCCAGGGCTCTGTTCTGGACCCAGTGCTCTTCAACATCTTCATCAACAATTTGGATGAGGGGATAGATGGGGAAATCATCAAATTTGCAGATGACACCAAGCTGGCAGGAATAGCCAACACTCCAGAATACAGGCTTAAGATACAGGAGGATCTGGACAGACTTGAACATTGAGCGCTATCTAACAAAATGAAATTCAATGGTGAAAATGTAAGGTTCTACATTTAGGCAAGAAAAACCAAATATACAGGCATAGTGTAGGGGGTACCTTGCTCAATAGTAGTAACTATGAGAGGGATCTCCGAGTCCTAGTGGACAATCACTTAAATATGAGCCAGCAGTGTACTGCAGCTGCCAAAAAAGCCAACACAGTGCTGGGCTACATTAACAGAGGGATAGAATCAAGATCACATGAAGTATTAACTTAACATTTAAAGAATACCACCTTTTGGACTAATTTCAGATTCTTTTCTGATTAAACTTAACAAAAGGTGTTTTCAAAGTATAAATAGAGAAATAGAATAGTTTGTTTGCTGAAGTTTTCCAGCATTTTATTATACAATCTATTCTATGACCTGGTTTAGCTAAGCTTGGAATTCAGGATTTAACAGTGGCATCAAAATGAATGGTAGAGTCAAATAAGAAATGATATCCTTAAATTGTAATAATCAAGGCAGAAGCCTTGCAATTAATTGTTCTACAATGTGATTGTAATATAATTTATTATTTGATAAGCATAATCAATTTAAATTCTTTATTGTACTTTTAAGGGTACCCATACTTTGTGATTTTGAACCTCTCCACCAGCATGTACTTGCTTTACATAACCTTGTCAAAGCAGCACAAAGTTTGGATGAAATGTCCCAGACCATTACGGATTTGCTGAATGAACAAAAGGTATAACTGAGTGATATATGTGATTTTGTGAAAGAGCAAAACATCAGACCTTTGTGGTATTTAATTCTACAATAAAATCATTAAAGTTTGAATTGAATCCAATGCATTGTTCAAAGGGTATTGCTCAAAGGACACTCTCTATCCCCTATTTATTATCCCCGCTCCCTTTATTGTTTCTATAAATAACTCAAAGCAGGAAATATATCTAATATTCCTTCCTCCTATTATTTCCTCCAAAACAACTACTGTGTATGGTGAGTTGGGCTGAGAAAAAGCAACTGGCCTAAAGTCACTCAGCCCACTTTCATGCCGGGATTAGACGGGATTAGAAATCACAGCCACTGGCTTCTGAATTCTTGACTGGCAAGTCCTGAAAAGAAAAGATGTGGAAAATCAGGTTCAGTAGTCCATGTCAGCTCAGCACCACTCTTGATGGCTTGGGAATGTCCCTCTGTAGATATCCTGTGTTCATTCCATAGAGCCATGAAGAGGCAGATAGTCCTTGATTTAAAGCCATTGATTTAACAATGGTACAAAGCTATAACTGCCTCAAAAAAAGTGATTTATGACCTGTCCTCAAAGTTGTGAACATTGCATCATCCTTGCAATCACATGGTCATAATTCAGGACTTGGCAACAGGCACACATTTATTATTGGTTGAAGCTTTTTGCAGGCATGTGATTGCAATTTGCAGCCTTTCCAGCCAGTTTCTAACAAGGAACATCAAGTGGGGAAGCCAAAGTCGTTTAATAATAATTTGTTTAATGACCACAGTAGAAATGAGCATACAATTGGGTTTGGTCATGTAATGACTGCTTTGCAACTATTATGATTTATGATGGAAATTCCAGTCAAAGTTGTGGTTGTAAATCAAGGACTAGCTATATTTATAAGAAAACTATAGCATCTAGACTTTTTCTTTACATCTGTCTCCCACAGTATAAAAAGTTTGTTTGGGAATGTTGGTCTCTCCAGAACAGTTCTATACTGGAATATGTAATGTGGTGTACAATTAACCAATGGAAGGATATAATATTATGACTGGCACTCACTTGCACACTACTGCTCCGCATAATGAAAATACAGATTTCGAAAGACTCTTTTAAAAATGGTGTTGATAATTAATATTTCTTCCATTCAGAATTCAGAAGGAAAAAGAGTGTTCAGACTGCTCTAGATTGTTCAAGTAATGCCTCATGGTAAATCCTTAAATCGATTACATCTTTTTTTGAGATTATGTGGCTGCTCTAACAACTCTCCCACAATTATTTATGGGATTTTGAGTTTTATTTGTTCCAACAGAAGAAAAATTAATGAGTTAGAACAAACCACAGTTAATACAACTGAATTCCTATTAAAGCAATCCTGGTAAACTGCCATCCTTCATCTTAGGCCAAAAGCATAATGCAATAAAATATCTTTTTTACCCTGCTTATGAAAAGCTAGCCTCATAGAGAGGATAATGCATTAGTCCAACTGGTTGTTGATTAAGATGTCAGTTACTGTTGCTGGGGAATCCTGGTTCAAGTGGGGCCCTAATTGGTACACCAAATAGAGATAAATGAAATCCTCACCACAGTTTCTATATGGTGTTTACAAAGGAGCTATAAGTCTCCAGCACCTTCAAATAATGTACCAATCCCTTCTGGGGAATGTAGTCATTTCAGAATAAGTACTGTGATTGTTAGGATGCCATAATTTGGGATATATATATAATCTTTAATAATGGAGGTTCATATACATCCACGGGTCGTGTGTTTAATTGTAGCTAAGGGGTTATTTTTAGAGAAAAGCACAATTCCCTTTATAATTTGTGGTACTTAAATTATTCAATTGTGGCCTTCCAGATGTTGTTGACTGCATTTCCCATTATTATTTGCATGCTAGACTTGACGTACATTGGAATTTAGTAAGATCTGGATGTCATATTGACATCCCAGTTTAAAATGTTAGAACAGTTTCCAGAACAATTTTATTACATTACTTAAAGTGATGTGTTTGTATACTAGTAGATTCATGTGTACCTGCGTTAACGTACATAAATGTAAGATTTTCAGGATAATGAGATTCCTTGGAAAAGTTTGCCTCAGCAGTCTTAAACTCTTTCAGGGATTCTTGCATTTCTGTTTCTATTTTTAAGAAGACTCTTTCCTGGTCATTTCTGTAATTGTGAATTGGAAAGTATCAGATCATCCTCTAGTTTTTATTCCAAACTGGATTTTTTAACTACAAATTTAGAAAAGCACAGCAGCTTAGGATTTTATTAGAATTGGCATATGGATAGATGTAATTAGTTTTATTTATTTATTTGTTCAATTTCTATAGCCACCCATCTCAAGCAATGATTGGGAAGCTTATAGTTCAAAAACTATACTATAATTAAAACAATAAATGTATTTTAAAACAATACAAAAAATTTTGGGGGGGGGAAATCCAACAAATAAATATATATAGCAACCAAGATACTTGGCCAGTTAATAATAGAGCCAGGAAACAGGGCTCTTGATGCATTTAGCACCCAGGCTTGGGAATATACTCAGGTTTTTAGAGCCTACAAAAGGCTAACAGCTTTATGGGTATAATACTTGAATTTGAAAATAGATGCTCAGGTGTATTTATATTTAGCTTTTCCATGTGTTATGTTTTACACCACATAGATATGTATATCCATACTTTCATTGTATGGTGTTGTAATGTGCATTTTGTGCCACAGTAAAATAAAAGGAAATACTGTGTCTGAACTGTTTTTTTTTCCTTCTATATTGTCAATTTATTATATAATCAGTCTAAATAATTACACTATCTCTTATTTGTTTATTGGGCTTTTCTATTAAACATAGTTGATACAGTAACATTTAGTTTGTACTTATAAAAGATTTCACTGATCATTTATATGCTTTCACTTAATAAAATTGTTATCTGATGCAATATAGCTATTATACCTTGGTTTTAAAAAGTCTTTAAGTATAATAAGTGCACTTTCTTTTATAATTTTCTATTAGTTTAACTCTGACTGTTCTGACTTATGATATGTTACCAAATTAGCATTTTCTAGCATACACTTAGATTTCCTCTTTTTTTCTCACAAAAGCTCCTCCTGCTGTTGAGTAGCTGCTTTTAAACTGTTACGAGCTTTTAGGCATGGCCATTTCTCTAAAAGATACAAAAGGCTTAATCAACCCTATAGTATGTGTGGGACTTAGTGTATTTGACTTGGAGACTGTACTGGGAATTGTGATGAAAGAATACTATTTTAACTCTTACTTTTTATTCTTATAGGCTTCCAACAGTCAAGCCTCACCACAATCTATCACTACGCCAAGAATGGAAAATACAACAGGAACAACAATTGCTACCTCTCCTAAAACTCCATCACCTCTCAGTCTTCAGGGTCCTCTTTGCCCTTCTGTGTGTCCTCCAGCTCCTTTAGAAGAATTGTCTCCAGACAGTATTGATGCTCACACATTTGATTTTGAAACAATTGCCCACCCAAACATAGAGCAATCTCTTAAACAAGGATCTTTAGATTTGGACTCATTGGCCGAAAGTCCAGAATCCGATTTTATGTCTGCAGTGAATGAGTTTATAATAGAAGAAAATCCATCATCTCCAAATGTGATAAGTGATCCTCAAAGTCCAGAAATGATGGTAGAGTCCCTCTATTCCTCAGTTATCAATGCAATAGATAGTAGGAGGATGCAAGACCCAAACATATGTGTAAAAGATGGAGTTTTAGAAAATCCTGTTCTAAATGTTTACATGGACAAATGCAGAGATGTTGCCCAAGAATCTCGGTTAAATTTAATGAATATCAAAGAAGACCTTTACCACTTTAGAACATTTGTAAAAAAAGAACAGTGTAACTTTTCTTCTTCTTTAAAATGTACTTCAGTAGAAATAAGGAATATGATAGAGAAAGTCAAACTTTCTCTTGAAAAATCTTTAAAGGATAAGCATCAAAAAGAGCTACAGTCTATAAAAACTGAATATGAAAGTAAAATAAATATTTTAGTTGAAGATAGTGAAGAAAACAAAAAAAACATTGCTAAATTAAATTGTGACTTAAAAGAACTTGAAGAAATTTTACATGACAAAGATAATGAATTTGAAATAGTAAAGAATGAGAAGGAAGCAGTTGTGTTCTTACAAAATGAAAAAGACCAGAAATTGATTGAAGTGGAATGCCAAATGAAGAAGCTGTATCATGAAATTAAGGAACTGACAGAGTCACGTGAAAGAGTATTAGAAAGTTTGAAAAAACTAAACGTTGAAAATGAGGGAAAACTGCAACTTTTGAAAGCAGAATGTCAAACTATGGAGCAAGATCACCTAAAGGAATTGGAATCTAATCTACATGTTAGACATATGCAAGAATTTGAAGAATTAATAGCCAAACACAATGATTGTTTAGAGAAGTTAAAAAAAGAACATCAACACCAACTTGAAAAAATGCAGGAATCTCATGCTGCTGATGTCTATGAAAAAGAACAACAGATTGAGGAATTAAAGATTAAGGTTTCTGAATTATCTGACTGGAGATGTAAGCTCGAAGTTGAACTTGCATTGAAAGAAGCAGAAGCAGATGAAATGAAAGTACTTATTGAAGCAAACAAAACTCAGCAGCAAAGTAATCTCAGAACCCTTGTTAACAAAGAAACTGAAATGCTAAGAAAAGAGACTGATAAATTAAAGCATATAATTCAAGTTAGTAATGATGAATATCAGGTAGGTTTAGCTGATCTGAGGACTTTAATAACAATTGAGAAAGATCACTGCATTTCAGAATTAATTGACAGGCATGAAGGAGAAGCAAATTTGCTTAGAATAGAATTGGATAAAACAACCTCCTTGCATCAGAAAGCACTGGAAGCAGAAAAAAACCTGGAAGAACAAATTAAAGAATTGCAAGGTAAGCTGGAATTAGAAATGAATGCTGTACAGAGACAAAAAGAAGAGCTTTTAGCTTTGTGTGAACAGCAGAAGAAATATGAAGACACCATTGAGAAACTTGTAGAAGAAAAGAAACTATTAATAGCTACCCATGAGCAAGACAGGAAAGAGATGGTACAGAAACTCAGTTGTGAAAAAGAAGATGCAGTACAAAATGCCCTTAAAGAATTTGAATTACAGAGGGATGCTGTTGAAAAAGAACTTTTGGAAAAAATCCAGCAACTTGAGATGCAAGTTAATCAGAGGTATTGTATGAATTAGGGTACCTTCTAATATTTTGAATAATAATGACAACAACAACTCTGAATATATTTTGCATGAGTTGACAGACTATAACATTACAGGAGGATCTCTTCAGTCAATTTGATTGTTTAGTTGCTCAACCAGCCATATATTTTTTCCTCAGATATCATCAGCCTATCTCTTATGCTAACATACAAATCAATTTTTATTTCATGAGTTATATTGAGGAAGTGAGTTATTAGTTATTTTCTCTTAAGTTTTAATACTGAATGACATTTTATTTCAAACCATCCCATGTTAAAAAGTTGCCTTCACAGGAACAATATTTAAAATCTTTCCTTATGATGTGAAATGTTATTTCATAGAAGAGGTATCTTTCAAACAAATGATTTTCTTATACGTAGATTTAACTACTCATGCATATTATTTGCTTTTTTTTCAGAAATGTAAAGGTCAGATTTATTTTGTGGGTCAAGCTTAAATAGATTAACATAAACTAGCATAAGCTTTGGTAAAATTGTACTATCTACTTGAAAATGAACAAAATTGTACAGTTGGACATAATTCAGTACTTGCTATTTTCTAAACAGTTATTTAATCTACATACTGTTAAAACTCTCATGTCTGTAACCTTTACCTGGGCAAAATGGTCATAAGGCAAACATTTCCAGCCAAAGTACCTAAAATGGGCTATCTTACAGAATGCATTTAAAATCCCATGGACTCCCATGTAATTGAAATTTGGCAAATTTTATAAAACATTTTGTCACATAAAATTATCATAAAACATTTTATGATATAATAAACAATGTTATAAAACATTTCCTGTGATCAGTTTCTGAGGTTTGATTGTGCTATACAATTCAAGATGGGCTACTTTCAAGGCCGATACATTTAAATATCTCCTTGTATTTTAAGGAGTTTTCAGTATATTACTACCATTGTTGAAGGCAATGAGAAATCTGGTAAGGAAATATCTATGAAACAATGACCCACTATGTCACAGGTTGTTGTTTAACCTTTTAAAGACAAGTTATGACCTCAGAAAGAGGTGCTGCCCCACATGGTCACATGATCATGATTTGAGTACCTGGCAACGTATTCATGTTTACGACTGATTATCAAATGTACAGAGACCATATGATTGCCATTTGCAATCTTTTCTACCCTTACCCAGGAAGTCAGTAAAAAGCCACCAGGGAAGTTTCCAAGCTGTTACTGCCTGCTGAGAGGACTCCTTGTTTCTGGGACTGGCTGAAAGAATTCCTGCTGGAGGGAATCTCAGTTCTGTATGGAGTTTATATGCCCCCCCTCTGAGATTTTCAACCTGACAAAGGGTTCCCCTCTATTCACTGAAGAGAAATTCTCTGTTGACTGCAGAAATGGAGTTAAAATCCTGAAGCTCTGTTCCTGCACTTCAATGAAGAATGGAAAATCCTTTGTCAAGCTGCAGGCATGGAGCTTCATTTTAGTTCATTCCTACAGCCTGATGACGAATTTCTCTCCCCCCACCACTTGAGGCCCTCCCACACATTCTGGTCCCAAATGTAAATAAAATAGATTATAATTTAAGGAGTTGTAGTTCACACAAGCTCTCCGATTAACCAGTAGATTATTTTATTTATCTTAATCAAAACATAAAGCACAAACCATTCTTGAAAACTTGTCTTGGTTTTACAAGAAATTTAATATTTGAAGAAAAATACAATATTTGCCTTTGTTGTAACAAAAAACTTTAGTTTTTAAAATTATAATAAAATATAGGTGCTCAAAGAATTGATGTAGATTGTATATGGCATTAAGATGAAATATTTTTAGGCAATTCAATTTAGTCATTTTATGTCTGTCCACATTGCGGTTTATACACTTAATAGCCTGAAATTATTGAAATAATGGGAGATGCTAAATACACGAGTAATTAGCTCATAGAATTAATCTGCTATTGATTAGTGATACAAATATGAAAGTATAATTTATTTTTTTCTGTATATTCATATTTGATTGAATATCCAGATCTCTGAATATTTTGTTTTAATAAATACAATATATGTATAATCCTACAGTACATTATTTATTAATATTTAAAGAATAAAAGTATTTTATTCATACTTTCCGAGATTTCATAAACAGCTTGCATGGGGAACGATGCATAGTTAAAATAAAAATTAATTTTGATCAATAGAGGTAATAAATTGCTACATCATAAAAGCAGACAAAAGCATTAACAATTATTCCTTTCAAATCATTTTACCAAATAAAAAAGAGTAATGTTATTTTTTTTCCATATTTTATTTCCAGAGGAAAACACCTGCATTTTCCAATTCTAATGATATGTGTGTGTTTCTCTTTTTATTTGGTGAATTTCAGGTTTAAGAGCAAAAGATTTTATTTAGATATTCTTTATTTTAGAAAAAAAGCAAAAACAGTTTATTGTATATGCAAAGGTGTTTTTTCAAAAGGCAAGTGGACCATGTTTTGTCCCTTCAGGAAGAAGATGAATCTTTTTGGATGAGAAGCAAAACAACTCTTTCCTCAAGGGAAAAAACATAATCCAGTTGCCTTTTGAAAAGACCTCGGTGACTGAGAATCTCTATAGATAGTGTATTGTAGAATTCTGAATTTTCCCAGAGAAATGGCTTTCATTAAGGTTCTTTAACTATATGCAACTGTTGCTGTTATCAAATATTATAAAAATCATTGTTATATATTGAAATTCCTTGTTTTTGTGTAAACAATACAAAATGAATACCATTATTTATTAAAGTTTCCAGTTAACAATTTGTTTTTAATTAAATATTTCTTATTCTTTCTGTGCAAAGTAGAGTCACTAATAGATCCCATGCTTTTCATTCATTCTATCTTTGTCATAATTTAAATTGTTCAGTTCTGATTGTGGCTGATGGATCAGTGGTGGCGAACCTATGGCACGGGTGCCAGAGGCGGCAGTCAGAGCCTTCTCTGTGGGCATGTGCACCGTTGCCCCAGTCCTAGGCCTTCAGCTGGGTTTTATAAAACGTTTTTGCTTTAGGCCTCCGCTGCCGTGTGCAAAAAAAAAAAAGGTTCAATCAGTCAATTTCAACTTCTCGCGGGAAAAAAGAAGATCTTGCAGAGTTGGAATTGATTGATTGAACTTTTTAGTCCCACCCAGTCTGTCTTTACCACTGCAGCCACGCCCACCCAATGGGCCACACCCACCCGGCACTCGATGATGCATAAGTGGGTTTTGGGTTGCAGCTTGGGCACTCAGTCTCTAAAAGGTTCGCCATCATTGATCTAGGTCAGTGGTTCTCAACCTGTGGATCGGGACCCCATTTGGGGTCGAACGACCATTTCACGGGGGTCGCCAAACAAGGCTGTCTGCCATTTTTTTCCCCTTTGGCCACGCCCCTGGCACCCGGTGATGTATAAGTGGTTGGGGGTCACCACAACATGGGGAACTGTATTATGGGGTCGCGGCATTAGAAAGGTTGAGAACCACTGATCTAGGTTCTGAGGTTACAGTCAAGAAGCATGTTAAATGAGTTTATTCACATTGTTCCAGGATTCTCTTTTAAAAATGTACCTTGTTGCAGTTCTTGTAATATCTCAACCACCTTGTGTATCATTTCTGTAAACCTAAAATAATTTCATTCATCTTTGCACTGATGTCTATTTTTCTAAGCAATGTTTTTCAAATATATATTACAAAATAGTTAAAACTGTATGTGTCACTGAAAGATAAAATGAAGATACAGTATTAACTATTTCATCATCTAGAGTTTTACATAATTTCAGACAATGATAATATTTTCACAGCAAAACATACAGTTTTGAAGAAATGTCTAGGGTTTTTTGACAAGTAAAATTTTGGTTTGAAGACAGCTTCTTACAAAAGGTAATACTCAAAGATGACTTATTCTTCCACTTTTTTTCCTGGCTATGTTCAACACATTTAGGATAATATCTAGTATACAAAATTTATCTAAAAATAATACAGCACTGAATTTAAGATATTGTCTCACAAAAGAATGATTACTCGGACAAAAGAAGACGTGTAATGATATAACACCACAGAACATTTGTTCCTTAACTATATTTCTTGCATCTAGATAAAATTAAATAGTTTTTTTTTCAGTAAACTGTAGTACGTTATGTAATTTGTATTAGTGTATTTATTTAGACTATATGTATATCATTTATTTGTAAACTTTCAAAGCAGTTTACAGTTGTTTCTATTTAATTGTAGTTCTGGTGCCCTTTCATGTTTAACATTATTGTAGCATACTAAAGCTATGAAAATCAACTTCGACCCTTGGATATTTCTGTCATGCACATTTGAACTCAGGACTTCAGCAAATGTACATGGAATTATTGTTATAATACCCGAAGTTTGATGAGAGGGCAAAGTTACAAGCCAGGATTTCTAGGAGAAATCTGATTGTTCTCTCTGACGTGGTAGAAATTAGTTATTATTTTTCAGATTGTTATTAAAAGAGGGAAAACAAATATGGCATAATTTCTATGTCCCCCCCCCAGGACAAGGCTGCAAAAATTAGCAGTTAAATGTAGATAGCTAAAGCTCTGGAGCAAAATCCAGTAAGATTGGAGGTCATTGGGTTGGTTGAAACACTTTTTTCACTGTAGTCTATGTATAGTGCTAGCAAATATTAATTAGCTGCAGTGTATAATAACTATATTTTAACTAACAAAAATATACTAAGACACTGAATGAAAATAAATCAACCAAAGAAGAAAAATTCAGAGATGTTAAACCAAACTTCTTAATCAGAAATATATATTAACAGCTGGTAGTCCAGGATCACGAGTTGATGATTTTCTTTTTCTTTTCCTTGCAACAATATGCTCTTAATTCTAGAATCACTAGTACGTTGAATAGATGTCCTATTAGAATTAAACAGCTGGACCAAGGTTATGAGTATCCACATTTAAATCCATAAGATTAAAAAAATTCTGCACTTGACTTTAATTACTAACCTCATAAAGATGTCTGCTCAGGTGGCATTAGGGAACAAATATTCCACTCTGAACTTCTTTGAATAAAAAGAAAATAGGCATGTTTTTACTTTTATGAATCACTCCTTTCTTATTGGAAAAGGTGAATGCAAGAGTGTCTGTGGAGATTCTCAGTTATCCAGGTCATGTTTTTTTCTTCAAAAGGCAACTGGACTGTTTTTCCTTGAGGAAGAAGAAGAAAACATTTCACTTCTCATCCAAGAAGATCAGTCAGAACTGATGAAGCTTCTTGCATGGGAAGTGAAATATTTTCTTCTTCTGCAAGGAAAAAAAATAGTTCAGTTGCCTTTTAAATTAAAAAAAAAAACACATTTGAGTGAATGTAGGAGGTTTGCGTTTCGGTCCCTTCTGTTTTCTGGGCCAATAACATCCAGCTTTGTTCCATAAATGTAATGAAGTCCCTAAAGTCATTCTAGTTGAATCACTTTGTGTTTATGCTTAAATTGTTGAGTTTTGAGCTACTTTATTAAAATATCTTTTATTCTATAGATTTTGCTTTGCTATACAGCTATTTGTACAGTTGAAGTAGGGGAGACAACAGATGTGAAAATTAGAATAGGATAGAATAGAAACTTTATTGTCACTTTAATGTACACTGATCAGCATACATTAAAATGAAATTGCATTGCATTCAGCGCTCGAAAAAAATACCATTATGCATATACCCCCCCACACACACATATGACACAGAAACATTACAGTCTAGTTTTAATATATAAATATACATGGCTGAAAAAGAAAAGAATCCTGCAAATTTAGAAGATGGCATAAGGAATAATGCTGTTACAGAATCTGCTATAAATTCTTTGAAACCTCCTCCCAGAAGGGAACAACAGAAATAGACCGTGAAGTGGGTGTGTGGGGTCTCTAACAATGCTTCTAGCTCTAAGCACATAGCACTTATAAGCAATGTCCTGAATAACGGGAAGCGAGCTTCCTATAATCTCAGCTGTCCTTACCACTCTGGACCTTGTGTCTGAGGCACTGCTACCACCAAACCAAACAGTGATGCAGTTTGTTAAACTGTTCTCAAATATAGATATCCATTGGGAAAACCAGATTGCTGGAGGTCTGAATTCATTTTTTTAAAATTGGCTTGGATTTTGTAAATAAGTTATTATTGCAAGGCCAACACCTATTTTGTCCCCAAACATACTAAAACCTGATAATTACTGGAGCAACTAACATTATTCAAAGCCTTTCAGTTTTAGCTATATTTACGTATGCCAAATTAAATAATACTGAGGTTTTGCCCTTGTTTTACTACTACAGATTGTTTGATTATACTCTGAATATTTTTTTTCCCTTTTTCAAATTCATTTGAATCGTCTGCTTCAAGCTTGGTTGCAGAGCTTCAAGAAAAACTCCAGGAAGAGAAAGTGAAGTTTTTGGAACAGCTTGAAGAATATGAGAAAAGAAAAAATGAAGAAATGCAAAACATTCGAACATCACTCACTGCAGAGCAGCAGGTAGCTCTATGACTTCAGATTAGATTTTCTTGTTAGGAGATAATATAAAATAATTGGAATCTGTTTTGGTTTTGGCAGTGTGGATAACAAATTCCTAAAATTTCAAAAGTTGATGATATCCTTATGTCTTTGAATGTAAAATATGATTGCCTGGCTTTGGGGGCAAGGTCACTGCATTCCTTCTTTTTTAGAATCCATTTTAAATGAGTCTTCACTGAGTTCTCAAACCATATCTTTTACATTACTGAAGACTTGATATCTCAGGAACGGGGGACAGACTATGATTGTAAAAAAAAAATGTGTTCAGACAAAAAAAGTAAAATGCAACTGAAACAACAGATTCTGACCTGAATAAAAAAATCAATCATACCTACAAGTCAGCATTGTATGTCTCAAGTAGTCATATCTAGCAAATTTTCACTTAATTCTATTGTCAGGAAGAAATGTTTTTACACCACAATTTCTAAACATCAGTGCTATTTAGAGTTAAATGCAATCTAGTAACAGGAAATGTAATATTAGATGTGTTCTAAGCCTGTGCATCTAAAAGTTTTTAATGTGTTTTAATACTATTAAGGATTACAAAGAGAAGAGTGTGCACATCTACATTTTGTTCATTGTGTTACCAAAATTAAATTTTAATGCTATCTTTTCAGACTACATTTAATACTGTTCTAATAAGAGAAAAGCTGAAAAAGGAAAATATAATCAATGATCTTAGCGACAAATTGAAATTGATAAAACAGCAGCAAGAAAAAGACAAGGGTAAGCATGCAATGTAATACATTAGAATTGCATACCATAGCAAAATTTTATAGCAATATTAAATATAAATCATTGAAATGCCTTGCTCAGATCTGATTGAAAGTCTTTCTGAAGATCGCGCTCGTTTACTTGAAGAGAAGAAGAAACTTGAAGAAGAAGTTAATAAACTGAAAAATAGCAATCTTGTTTCATCAACATGCTTGCCTTTTACTCTGGAACCTTCTGGAGCTTGTGCAGCTGATTTCACATCAGAAACTGAACATTTGAGTTCTGATACAGCAGAAGAAGGAAAAAATGATTCCACACTAGAAACTAGCATGATGACTGTAAAGTAAGTTGTTTTGCATTGAAATAAATATCTAAATATTACAGAATGAATGAAATACCTTTCCCCTACCCCAGGCATGTCAAACTCGCAACGTCACGTGATGTCGCATGACGTATTGTGACTTTTCCCCCATTGCTGGCAATGGGGTGGGCGCGGTTTTGGCATGACGCATCCAGCCTGCGGGCTGGCAGTTTGACATGCCTTCCCTACCCCATTTAAACTGCTGGTTCTAAGGTTTTTTCCTGAGTATTGTTTATACATGTACATTATACATCTTTTATCATGCTAAATGTATATATAAGGTTTGATTGTTGGAACAAATTTCTTGATTATTATCTGTTTATTTTAAAAGATAATATATTTAAAATTAGAATGTGGATCACTTCCAAATCCTCAACTATTAGTGAATCAGATTTCATTTGACCCTCTGTTCAAGTGGAGAAAAAACACCCTTTTTTGCCACATCAGTTTAATTTTTACATATATTTTATGAAGTTTCAGCCATAAAATTTATGAGGAATGTTGTTTTATATTAACCATTTTGAACAACAGAAATCAGTTTTATTCATTACTAAAAGATGTTTCTAACCTCTTAATATCAAAATGTATGTCAAATGCATGTGGCAGTAAAACAAATTTCATTGCTGCTCTTCTTAAATAAAAAGTGTCCCTAGTGTTGTTCATGTCACCCAAATACCCAAAAGTAGCATTTGCTGCTACTGGGCCTCTCAGAGCAGTGACTGATATCTAGGCAGTATTCCATCCCATTACCAATAGCCAGTTCATTTGATGACACCTGTCCCATTTTGGGTTTGGTCTCTATCTGCCCAACTTCTAATTACCCCCAATAAGACTCTTATCTTTTCCAGAGCATTTGGTACAAGGAAGGCAGCTTCAATTGTTGCCATGTATGTAACTATATACATGAAGCTTGCATGAAATGGCAAAAGATGAACATATTATATACATTCCACTTTTAATCATTTTTGTTTGACACATCTGTAATACAAAGTGGGGTCATTTGGCCAATGCTAAACAGCTGTTTGTTAATCTTTCTTGATTCTTGTTATACTATTAAAAGTTCTTTTTCAACAATCATTATAAATATGTTGAAGAGCTAGACAAGTTTTTTTTTTTAAAAAAAAAAAACTTCATATCTTGTTAATTTCTCCTATTTTCTTTCTTTTTTTAAGTGAAAATGTCCAGATGTTGTCTGAAGAAAAACAGAGGATAATGATGTTAGAAAAAGTGAGTAGTTTTTTTGCCAGTCTCTGTTTTTAGTAGCATAACTGGTAATGCTAGAGAGAAGTAAGGTTTGGGAAAAAGCTTACATTCAGCTTTTTTCCTCCCCATCTATCCATTGCATATCCAGTACTGCTTATGTTATACTAACAATTAAAATAAAGTGTCTTTCGAATTGAGCTAACATGCTGACTTCATGAATATATCCATCTTACAAGACCCACATGCATTTACAGCAGCCTGATTTCGCCCTAATCTCCTTGCACAGTTGTGTTTGCTGTTACATTAATGATTTCTGAGCTTTATGGGCATAAAGGCAGGCTAGAAATCAAAGCTGGTACTGAGGTATGATTTGTGATTTCTCTGATTTAATTGTGTGATTGGACAAAAACATTTTAAAATGAATTATTTTATTTTAAATCTAAGGCTCTGATTAAAGAAAAACATCCTGGACCAAAAAACCTACTTTTGTATAGTTTTGTTTTTTTAAAAAAAATACCCCACAGGAAGATGTCTGTGTAATCACTAGGAACTCAGATTAATTTTAAGAAGTATTTGGTTTTGGCTGTTTTTTTTTTAAGGATGATTAAATTTATCCAGTGCTTCTGGTAGACACTAGAAATATATGGAAATATTTAAAGCCTATTTTCTGATATGGATAGTGTTATATGGCTAAGGGATATTCCCATAATTCTGCACTCTTTTATGTGCAGAATCCCAAGGTTTAATAATTTCTGTTTAGCTTAATTATTTAGGTATAAAAACTTCTAATAAGTTTTCTTCTAAGAAAGGCTTGACTTTATATTCTATCATACATTGCCTAGCCATGTTGCAGTAAAGAAGTGAAGAGTACATATTAGATTTACCTGCTTTGGTTTCCAAAAATCAGCATTTCTGGGGTGCTTGCTTACAAAAATGAAAGTTTTCTATTACTCTCATTCCCCTTCTATATTTGATAATATACATTTAAATGAAGTGGTTGATACTTTGAGACAAACATTGTGGTTTAACAGAATTGAAATGCAGGTGTATAGCTCAGATTCTCTGAAGTTTAATTGAACATCTTAGTTGCTGTAATCATGAGAATATAATGTTAGCGCGCGTGCACACACACACACAAAAAAATTGGGTTCCTGAGTAAGAGAGCTAAGTATTTCAGCTTGAATTTTAATCCCATGTTTACTCAGGGACAAATTGCATTGTGCTAGATTATATTTGTTCTCAGAAAAGAGCATCTATATTTTTTTCTTCCTTGCCAAAAATGATCAACTATAGGTTTTATTCTGCCCTTTACTAATGGAGCTTTCTAATGTGCAGTCTTTCTGTATATGCATGTTTGGGTATTTTTCTAATGTATTCCTCTGTTCATGCTATTTTTGACCTGTGAATCACATCAGAAATTTCTACAAAGTGTTGAAATTCCTGGTACATATGTACATTGTGTTTTCTTATTTGGGAGGTACAAAATTTGTTCATATATATGAAATTCTCAGACAACCAATTTTCATTTTTTTTCTATTTTGTGTTAAGAAGCTATGAATAGGATTGCACTTTAAAATACTGGGAATGCATTTATAAACTATATAATATTAATATATAATTACATATTTGGGTAAAGTAATAACATACATCTTTTTATAGACACTGCAGTTGAAAGAGGAGGAAAATAAAAGGCTCAATCAAAGATTGGTAAGATTTGTAAATTTTATTAAAAACTTATTCAAAAGAATAGATAAAATCAGTCAATTTATTTTTTTTAAATGTATTCTAAAAAATACATTGCTCTGAGGTAGGATATCCACTGTATTTTATTTTTAAAAGAAGATATAGACCAATAGGTTAGAGAGAATAGAAAAAGATATGTTCCTTCTTCTGCTTTTCACTTCATCCTCTTAAAATTAAAACGGACAGTTAGCAACACAATACTGGGAATTAGGAAGAGACATTTCACCTCTTGAATCATAGTTCATAACTAATGATAGTGACTCGGAAGAGTCATCAGACAACACATTTCCATTTTGTGGCTTCGCAACAAAATTTAAGTTGATCTCATGGATTTAACTAACTTGCTTCCCACTTTTTAAGATTGGGGACTTTTCTCATGAGAAATAACCATATTTATTTTAGAAGTTGTAAATCCCAATAGAATATTTGGAAACATCTAATGTCCAATTAAATAAAGTATGTGATTAATAGGAAACACACAACAAAGAAACTTTTCTCTTTTTATAAAAAATGGATTTATATTAGCTTTATTTTAAAAAAAATAAAAATATGCAGTGAATAATTTAAAGATAGTTTTTGCCACTTCTTTAGCCATTATCACTACTGCAGGTAGTCCTTGTTTAGTGGCTGCCTCATTTAGCAACTGTTTACTGGTACTACTGTAATAGAAAAGACAGACGCAGTGCATAACTTTGGGGTCCTCTTGGAGTCAAGAGCAGATGGCAGCCATAGCTAGAAAGACCTTTGCTCAGCTTCATGTTGTGCACCAATTACACCCTTTCCTGAATAGTTACTAAGCAAAAACTACCTGTACTTCATTTGAACTACTAAAGCAACCAAAATATTCACTGCACATTTTCCTGGTATAATATTAAGAAACCAAATGAATTTGATGATGATTTTGTGCCGTCAAATCATTTTCAATTCCTAATGACCACTATGATTTTTTCTATAATGATCTATCTCTAACCTATCCTTTCAAATCTTCCAGCTCATCATCACTGTAACTGAGCCGATGGCAAATGTTTTTAATTAGGAATATTTCTGAAATATATAATCTTTTCTCAGTTCAGGTTTTAGATATCAGTTTGAGGATTTAAATTCATTTCAGGATCCTATTGATGTCAGTCTGAATCAAATCTCCTCCAGAGTTTTTAGAAAACGATCTCTTAAATTTTTTTGTAGGTCTGATTTCATGACAGACATAAACTCTAGGTCAGGGGTAGGCAACCTTGGCTCTTGTATGACTTGTGGACTTCAACTCCCAGAATTCCTGAGCCAGCCATGCTTACCCCTGCTCTAGGTTCTCTAAATGAGAAATTCTAAATGGGCCGATTAAAAAGTATTAATCACAGCTATATGTTTTAAATTAATGGTATAGTTATTGCTGCAACAATAGGTCAGCCCAGATTGGTTACTTTTTGTACCATCTCAATTAATAAATCAGAAAAAAAAAATCTGCCCTGGCACTTCATGTTTTCTAGAATGTTGAGTATAAAAATAAATCTGGATAAATACAAAGTATAAGTTATAATGTAGGATGTATGATTGAAGAAAAGTATCTTGACATTCATAAAATCATAAGACTGCTTAAAAGTTAGTTATAATAGTAATGACTAACTTTTTTATCTTTATATGATGAAATTGTTTTACATTTATAATATGTTTTGAACAAACAGTGGATATAAAGCGTAGAAAACCACTTTTTCTTGTTTTATGTCAGTCTTTGACAAGATCAATCAATATCTATCTATGCCTAGAACATGCTTTATCATATAAGCTATAATAGGAAAATAATAGTAATGTTACCTTTTTCAGATGTCTCAAAGCATGTCTTCAGTTTCTCTAAGACACTCTGAAAAAATTGCTATCAGAGAGTAAGTATACATGTTGTTAATTGTGAAATTGTTTTTAAATTAAATTCTTTTTAAAAATAATATTACTGTGGTCATTAATACAGACTAAAATAAGTATGTCTAAAAACTGTTGAGTAGTTAATTATTTACATTTGTTTATTTGCAAAAACTTGAAAACAAGTTCCCTGCCAGTACTTTTTAAAGACTTAATAAAATTACCATGCAGTTTTTGTTAGGATAGATACCTACAAGTTAACTTGTACAAGAATTTGAAAACAAATACCAAAAAAAAGCATGCATGTACACACGCACACATGCGCGCACACAAGCTCTCTCACACACACATAGCTAATTATAATTCCTCTCCTCAAACTGCTGACATTTATATTAATTATTGGTTAAAAAAAATCTTAACCACTTTTATAAAATCTTAAAGCCATCCAGAACTCTATAGGAGTTCGGCAGTTTTGTTGCGCACTGTGAATAAATTCAATTGAAATGTGCATCTAGCTCAGGCATCCCAGTTAATGACCTTTTGTAGAAATTTCCCTTCTATAAAATGAGACATGAGAGGAATGCAACAATCCAATTTTTGCAATTCTTTCTTGATTCCAAAACCTTAAAAGAACTCTCCAGTTGTTTATTCTTTCTCTATTAAATTATGGTCAGTTGCTATTATAATAATTGCTATTGATTATGCTACTAGGAAATACAAAATATTTCACCCTTTCCAAATGTCTTTCTCTTAGAGAATCCAGCATTCTTATTACTTCTGCTACATATTCTTGCCAATAAAATAACTAAGGATTATTTTTGAATCCTCACTCATTATTGATAGAGATATATCTCTCCAGCTGGAACAATGAAATTAGAATTAGAATAGAAGCCTATTATGAGTGTTTTGCCATTTTATATACCGTATTTTCCGGTGTATAAGACGACTTTATAAACCATGCAAATCTTCTCTGAAGTCGGGGGTCATCTTATACGCCGAGTCGTCTTATACGCCGGAAAATACGGTACTTCCCTGGATCTTGGATTTAGTAATTACTTTATTTTCTGAAAAGTTTAAAAAAATTAAGATATATCATTCAGGGGAATAAAACAGTTAGCGTACCATGGCTGTTGGTTCTTAGCATGGCCCACAGAGTGGTGTTTTCTTTATGTAAGAAACATGGAACTTCTTGCTTATCATTTGAATAGAATAGAATAGAGCTGGAAGGGACCTTGGACGTCTTCTAGTCCAGCCCCCCACTCAAGCAGGAGAACCTATACATCTCAGACAAGTGACTGTCTAGCCTCTTCTTAAAAATCTCCAGTGATGGAACGCCCACGATTTCTAGAGACAAGCTGTTCCACTGGTTAATTGTCCTCACTGTCAGGAAGTTTCTCCTTAATTCTAGGTTGCTTCTCTCTTTGTTCAGTTTCCAACCATTGTTTCTGGTGCTTTGGTGAATAATGTGACCCTCTCTTCTTTGTGTCAGCCCCTCAAATACTGGAATACTGCTATCATGTCTCCCCTATTTCTTCTTTTCTTTAGACTAACCAGACCCAAGTCATTTACTGTATATGACATTATTAACCCAATAATCAGATGAGCTAATCAATAAAAACTTTGTGCTTAAAGCACTGGAATTTCAAAATGATTAGCTTTCATTAGCCCATATTAGTATACATCAGGGTTGTACATATGCCAACTTATTTTACTTTTATTTTCAGTGACTAGAAATATGTGCCACAGTTTCATCTTCAGTCACCCACCTACCATTCCAGAATGTACTTTCTGCATAAAAAAATCCCTTTCTTAAAATTACGAGTTTTCAAAGGAATGTTTTTTAGTTGAAACCAGAATTTCCTGATTTACAGTATATTTCTATGGACCAGGACACAAAAATAAATACTTGGAATATAATTTGGTTACTTGGAATTTTTCTTTTGAATACGTATCTGCTCAATATTGTACTATGTATTGCTTGCTTAACTTTTTCTTTTTTTAACTAGTTTTCAGGTTGGTGATTTGGTTCTCATAATCTTGGATGAACGTCATGACAACTATGTATTATTCACTGTTAGCCCAACTTTGTATTTTTTACACTCAGAATCTCTTGCGGCACTAGATCTCAAACCAGGTGAGTGTGGTAAGTGTCATCTCCTTGGAAAGTGTTTTTATGATGTATTTAAAAATAATATAATATATATAATTAATTATAAAAAGATTTTTGAACTATTGTGTACTTATTGATATGTGTACACGTATATTTTATAATTATGTATAAACACATGAACACAGCTAAGTAATACTAGAAACTTATAACTATGTTTAAGTAGAAACAATGTACAAATAAATATGTCATAATGTTTCTATTGTAATATAATATTTTTGGAAATCCTTATGGTCTTCATACCATTTACAGATAGGAGGGAGAAAAAATTATGTGTCCTCTGTTATCAGAATGGTATTACACATTTTTCCTATTAAATGGTTAAATATATAGACATGTAACTTTGAATTGTATTATCACGATTAGTGGAGTGGCCACTTGCGTATATATAATGTTTTCAAGTCATGAACAATTTTCTTGTAGCTTCTGGAACATCTCGAAGACCTTGGGTGTTAGGGAAAGTAATGGAAAAAGAATATTGTCAGGCAAAAAAGGTAAGGATTAAATTATTTGATTAGTCATAGTTCAATTAAATTATATAATAGAATTTGAGCATTATTTTTCTGAGAGGAATAATACAGCTTTTTTCCTACTTGCATCATTGTTCAATAAATAAAAAAGACAAATTGGAAAGATATGAAATGCCAAAATATCTAAAATACATGTTTCAAGAAACATAAACATGCATATAGCCTATGCCCATCAATATATGCATTGCAGATTACAAAAATTATAGTTTATAATTGATTGTAGATCTGATACTACTCTTAGACTAATTTTCTTTCTTTCCTTCCTTCCTTCCTTTCTTCCTTAGGCACAAAACCGATTCAAAGTTCCTCTGGGTACAAAATTCTACAGAGTAAAAGCAGTACCATGGAATAAGAAAGTATAACACATGAGGGAAACTCAACTCAATACCATATTTTCTGGCTAGTTCCTCAGTGCTCATTCATCAATCCAAGTAGCAGGCCATTTTTTTATACAGAGATCATATGACAATGCTCCATAATATGATTGTTTTTTTTTCCTTTTTAATGTGTTATATTTTAGAAACAAGAAATTAATCATAATGTCTGGCCTAACAGTTCCAATTTTTTATTCAGATAACTTTAGAAATGTGGACCAAAAGAGTTCATTTTCTGAAAGGGCAAATCTTACATATCATGGCTTGTTTACTAGCCATGTTAATTGCCTGTTTAAATATACATTAGCTCATATTAGATGTTAAATGTTAACTACCATTACCAGCATCTGTCCTTTTGTGAAACCATTATCAAACTACTTTCACTCTTTAACAGATTCTTTATAATATGTATAAAACCATCAGTTATTTATAATACAGGAGTGTTCATTGCATGCAGATAATTTTCTTCAGCATGAGTTTGCCTCAATAGATGAAAAGGTAACTCTTGCAACTTGCTTTATTGCATTAAAAAGCCGTTTAATATAAGAGAAAGGGGGGAAAAAGTATCTTGCTAAGGTAATATGGATTGAAGTTTTTGAAGGGTGGATCGCAGATCTTGAAAGGAAGTAGCTATGCTCTTGTATTTAAATAAAACACCTTCCCAGCCCTCAGAAAAGTCTTGTATTGATCTATTTAAAAAAAAATCATATAAATGAAATTGTATTTCATGGCTAAGGTTCAGGGAAGAAAAAAAACATTGTACATTAACTATACAAAGATCACTTAAATAACAAATTATTGTACTGTAAAAGATATGTAGAATTTTAAAACAATAAAGATTTGAACCTGTAAAAGTTTCAGTGGTCTAAATGCTTTCTAAATTCAATGTGGTAGGGCAGTTCTATCCATGATTCTTCTTGTAAATTTTAAAGTTGAATGTATAAGATAATTTGTATGAATATTTAAAAAAATGTCTGAAAAAGTTTTCTAAGATTTTCTATGTATGGATGTCAAGCTCATTATTTAAATTACCACTTATGTTTGCACAGTAAAGCACCCAAGTAAAATGATTTAAGTAAATTACATGGGGAATGGCAAAACAGTGTTCTAACCATTTCTCTCCTAGAATCCTAGGGTTGAAAGGGATCTTGGAGGTCTTGTAGTCCAACTTCCTGCCCATATCGGGAGTTCTTTAACAATCCCAGACAAATGGCTGTGCAATGTTTGCCTGAAAAACCTACTAATTCATGCCCTACTTAATAGCTCCCATATTCAGGATATTCCTTTTTATTTTAAGTTTGGATCTCTGTCTGTAAAATTTCCACCCTTAGTCTTAACCAAAAATGAGAATACTGAATTGTTCTGTTAAAAAAAAATACAGAACAGATAATACTAAATCTATATTTAATGACCAAGAATTTGTAATACTCTGTAATAATATGACCAGTTAAGTAATTCATGCTTGCTTTGTTACATCATGTTGATCTTGATATTTAATGACAAAGACGATCGGACTCGCGGTATGACTGCATTATTTTATTGTTTTATGATTGTTTTAACTCTGTACGCCGCCCTGAGTCCTTTGGGATTGGGCGGCATATAAATAAAATTAAATACAAATACAAATACAATACAAAGACATTATCAAATCTTAATTTTTCCTAATCATTACATCTCAGTTCATATATAATTATCATTGTGTGATTGACAGTAGTTTGTTTTTAAATGGAAATAAAGTATCTAACTTTTATGACTAGTTTTAGTGAAGATGAAACAAGTAAAGATCTTCAAGCTCAGCAGAACCTTCCAATTTCCAGGGCTTAAGTTATGCATCTTTTACTAACATTGAGTGCTTTGTATTTTATCCTATATCATTTGGAAGATAAATTTAAACAAATTTAAGCATTTAAGAATTATTTTAATATAAATGTTTTAGCAGTAGATACACTTTAAATAATGATTTATTACCATTTGTAAAAGACAAGAAGAACCGGGATGGGGATAAAACGCGGCCTGAGTCACCTTCCTCCAAAGTAATAGTACTGTCATTACATTAGTGAAAGGCATGAATTGTCTTCCAAATACACTGCACGCACCAACACTGCTCAGCTATCCAAATCAGAATAGGGTATTATATTCTGTAATGGGACACTTAGGTGCAAGAAGGAAAGTGTTGTATACTACATTCTGCATGCAGTCCTGTTTATTGTGCTGTAATAAGAAACCAGAAGCAGAAGACACTAGTATATTCACCTATCACTGCTTCTCATTACATTTGAATCTACATCATTTTGCTGTCAATATTTTAAATTACAAGCAAAATGCAACATACATTTCTATAAATGTTAACCATGAAAAAAGTGTACATTGCTTACAGCAGTGTCTCAGAAAAACGTTAGGAACATTAAGTCATGCATTTAGAATGTAAACAACTTGTGATAATGTTAGTTTTTGAGGATTATCTGTCATCTGTTTCATTTTATAATCTTTGTGTGTATCTAAAATGGAACTTCTGTCAAACAGAACTGTTAACATATTCAGTAATGATTCTAAACAGTCATCAGAAAAATATTTAGTTTACATTCTTGTTGGATATTACAGCCTGGCTGGCTTATGAACTATGAATGCTATGTACTCTTATTCCATCAAACTCTACAATAAAAAAAACCCACATCCATATTTTTATAATTCTATAAAGAGCACATACAGAATGAAGCAGATATATTAAGTGACTCAGTAGTTCCTTACAGAGAGAGGGAAAAAAATTCTCATTTTCTTACATATCTCAAATACTTTCTGATATGAACCAAGTAGTGAACAAAAATAGTTTCAACAAAAATGTAATCAACTTTTTAAAACAAAAAGTCAAGCAACTTGTGTTTATGAATGCTTCCATTTCAAGTTAGGAATAGGAAAAGAAGTGGCTGTTACATTATATAGCTGATTTGCCAAGCCAATGATTATGAACCAATCAGCTCAGTGAACATTGAAAGCCTTCATTTAATAGACTAGTATAAATCTTTCGAAATAACCCCTTTGCTATGTGCAGGAGCCTGGGCAAAGTATCTGTCTTTCAATCAATAAAGGAGACCACTGTTGCTTAAAAGCTTTTTGCAGCTGCTGTCTATTGCTGGGAAAAGTGGCTGTGCTGCAACAAATATAAGGGGACATCTGGGAGTAGTTTTCAAACAGCTGTGCAAGTCTAGAAAAATCAGGAATACTTCAATGCTTCAAACAAAAGATGTTTTTGTATGCACTTTAGAGTATTGCAAACATTTGCACACCACTATGATTTCGTCTTGTTATACACAATTCAGTATGGAATCAGCTTTCAATAATCTCAAATAAAACTGTAAACTTTTGGTAAACTATAACTTGCTGCTAAATGAGAAATCACTTTAAAAGGATTCACTTGACATAGCTGCAGAAATTTCATTAGCAATGCATATAAGCAAAATGGAAAATAAAATATACATCATTCACACCTTTAATGAAACTTTCTGAGAGCAGAATTACTTTTCTCTAAAACATTTATAGCAGTATCAAAGGACATTTGATTGATTACCATACTCCTCCTAAACCAAAAATTATATTTTAAATATCCTGATAATTAGAAATGCAGCAGAACTAAAAGTGCCCTCGTATTGTGGAATTTGCTATTTGGAAATACAGTAGCATATGAATATATGTTAAATACTATAATAAAAGACACTTAGAAAGTTTGATTTTCTTCTAAAAACTCAGTCACTGATATTACAAAAAGCAATTATCTCTGGTCAGATTCATGTATGTTTATTTGAACTCTAGACTGAATAATATGTCTGCCTCTGTCCAAAATAAAATGTAATGAACTTTGTTGGACCAAGAAGGTTTACGACAAAAAATTATTCCTGCAAGCATTCCTATACTCTTTCAGTTTACAACACAGTCAACTAACACTCAAATACATTTCTACCATGTTTGGATATTATGTTCAGTGATATAACAATTATATTTTTCTCAAGTAATTGATGGTCTTATATAATTTTGTAAAATCAGGCTAATAAAAATAAAATCATAAATAAGCCAGGGTTTGTTTTTGTTTTTTGTATCAAGTTTGTAATAAAAGTTACAGGCCATACTGACATCTATATGTGTAATTCTATTTCAATGTGCCGCTAAGGCATTTACTGATATAGTTACCTTTTTGCTCCATAGTGAACAATGGTTGACGTAAGAGTACAATACTACTAATTATTACATTTCTAAAAGATGAAATATATATTCAAAGGTAATCAAGTGAACATGTATGCAGTTAAAACAAAGAATTCAAAATATGTAACAGTAGCCTTCAAAAGCACTGCTGAATTTCTGCTTTCTGTGGATAAGAAGGAAATAGGAGCATTATGAAATAAATAGCTGAAATTTGGCCAGGTTAAGTTGGACATTTTAAAGCTACAATTACTTTCTTCTGGTCCCCGAGGCATTCATGACACTGTAGAGAAAGCTTCCTCTTCCCAAGAGTTTGGGTGAAGCAACTTCTTTACGGAAAGCCTTCTAAACAATTCTGGCTGGATTCAGATTCAGGTTCTGGATGACCTTTAAAAACTTCAGCTCCAGTATTCAATCTTCTATCTATCTTGTCAGTATTTGTATCAGCAAAGGATAACCCAAGCTACATAAAATGAAGGGTTTTGCAGTCTCCTCCCAATTCCAAAGGAAATGTTTACTTCAGATGTGAATCACAATTGATTACAGCTGGATTGATGGACAGTAATGATCCATTTCTCTAGTTATCCATAAGTCAAATCTGACATCTGTTTTGTAGGTTGGATATTCTACTCTCACTCACAATGTGGCTTTCAACTGTATTCTAATTGCCATTCTAATTGACTGAGTTGCAAAGAAGAAACAGATTTGTCCACTAGTAGAAAGAAAAATCTTGTCCTGGGGCTTTTTGAAACTAACAAATGAAAAATCAGAAATAATCACTTGATCATTTTTGTTAATAGATTAATATACAGTATAAGGAAATGAAATAAGCTTGGAGTTTTACTACAAAAAGATAAATAAGATTAAGAGTAAGGGAGCTCACACATAGTGAGTTACACGATTAAAATAACATCCAAAAAGAAACAATTAAAATTGAGTTGTATATTTCATTACAGCAATATTAATAGGAAAACTGCCAAGCAGTGTCCCTCCCAAACATTGCTGACGTGCTGTTATTGTTCCCTGGAATTTGAGACTTCATTGTTAGCATTTTAAAAATGATAGTAAGATTTTTAACATGGCACTCTAGCCTTTTTTAATTTTAGGAAACCACTTTTTCAGCTGTTAGAAGAAAATTCTTGGTTTGATCTAGGCTGGGTCAAAGAATACAGGACAGCTGCTTGAAGTGGAGGTAGAATTTATTTGACAGAAGAGGCAGTTTAGCAATTGAAGGTGGCCACACATTGAAAGGCAAGCCTAGAAAGGAAAGTTTGGTCTTTGTTTAGAAAGCATGAGAACATGCTTTGTTTCAGAGGTAGGAGGGGGGTTGAGCTGAGTCCAGTAGACCCAAGATGCCCAGATGTTCATCTTGATTCCGGGGTCCAGGGAATCTTTAGCATGTACATAAAGGATTCTTATATCTTGAGTGGCTTTCATATGGTTTTAACTGAGTTACTCCCAGCCAGAGATAGGCTTAGTCAGTTTCAACCCAAGTGCTCTGCCATTCTAGTGGGAGGGGGAGACTCTGCTCTGCTGGGAGGGGGACTTGTGGGTATATTTCCTCTACTTTGTTCTTTCTAAACTTGGATGTATCTCTTTGGGTGTGAAAAGGGGAAAGGAATATGACAGGGGCCATCTGCCTTATCTCCGCTCTGCTGCAAGA